GCCTTTCCCGAGGATGAGGATTTCCTTCCTCCCATTGAGCGGGGACCCTGGGGTTAGCACGCAGCCGTGGGACACTCGGCCACAGGACGGGGGGCCTGGCTGGGAATTGGGGGGCAGAGACCCCCGACACAGCCCTGGGGGCATCTCCCTTATTCCCCTCTGCCTGGCCGCGACCCCGAGAATGCAGGAGCTGGGTTTGGGGGGGCACAGGATGGAGCCACGCAGCCATTTCCTCCTCTCCTTCCCTTCTTCCCACCCCGAGAGCGCTGCGGATATTTCGGGGGCGAGAAGAAGCTGGACGCGGGGCTTCTCGGCTTTCCCAGAAACGCAGCCGGGAGCAGCTGTCACCGCCAGCAGTGACACGTCTCACTTCCCTCCCGCCGGGGCTTTCCCAGGCCCCCGGGCGGGGACCATGTCCCGGGGGAGATCCCGCTGGGAATTCCCCCGGGAGCCCCACGGAGGTGGCTCCGCTGGGGGCTCAGCTGCCGTGGTCGCCCCGGGGGTCCCGGGCTGCCCGCCGGGGGTCCCGGGCTCCATCTGCCGCTCCCCGCGGCCGCTAATCCCGGGATTAGCAGCCAGATGCCAGGGGCAGGTCTGCCGCAGGTAGCGAGGATCCCTCGGGAGGAGCTGCTGACATCAAAGTGCAGGAATTATGGCAAATCCCAGCCGAGCCTGGGGTCCCCCGGGCAGCGGGACAGCGGGGACAGGGAGCTCCATGCGCCAGGACACGTCTGGGGTGTCACACAGAACCCCAGGACAGCGGCCACGCTGGAGCAAAATTCCCGGCAGAAATTCCCTCCATGTGCACACCCAAAATGGGAAAACTTCACCCTCCTGCTGCCCGCCGGGAATCCCCTCCCGCTTCCCAGCGGATGCGGCTGATGGGAAGTGCTTGTTTTCCCCTAAAAGCCGTCCCAGCATTCCCGGGAGGCCGCGGCTCCCACCCTTATCCCAGTTCCTGGGACCTCCCAGCACCAATTCCTGTCTGGTGCCAGCCCAGCTGGGCACAGAGGAAGGATTGCTGGATCCTGGAGTTCTGGGTGATGCTGGGTGGTTGCACCCCGCATTTCTGGGTGATCCTGCAGCTCAGCCCCTCCCTGGGGACCTCCCAGTTCCGCCTCATCCATCCCAACCCCCAGCCCATCCCTGGCTGCTTCACTTCCAAATCCAGCACCCAGCAGCTCCTGATGTGGACGAGGAGGTGGAAAAGGACAGGAACATCCCCCAAAACCAAAGGTGATCCCACCTGGGCTGTGCCACCCAGAGACTGGCAGCTTTAATTCCTCCCTAATAAAGATTTTTTTACATTAATAAATCCAAATCCCCAAAGTGGTTAATTAAGGATTCATTTACCCACTGTCACCACACACCGCAGCAGGCTTGGGGTGACACCAAGCTGGAAAAAAAGCATCAGGGAGGGAAAAATATCCCAGTGCTGATCCTGCCAGCATCCCCCGGGCTGGGGGACCCCTGAGCACCCCCCCGGGCCCAGAGCCACGGGGTCGCCTCGAGACACCCAAATTTTGGAGGTGCTGCACTGAGCCGAGCTGTCCACAACCACCCCGACCTCACCCAGGGCTCACCTGGCCCAAACCTGCGCCCCACAAGCCCTTAATTAGCATACCTCATTAACAATCACACCCATGTCCTCATTTCCTCCCTCAAACAAGCCCGCGGTGGGGACCCCGGAGCTGCAGGGGACCCCGAGCTCTCCCATCCCCAAAGGCGGGCAGGGAGCGGGGACAGCGCCCCGGGGCCCCCCGGACCCCCGGACCCCCGGACCCCCCGGCTCCCCGGGCCCCGATGGCCGCTCCGAGGCGGGGGCCAGACGGAGCCTCCCGCCCGCGGTGCCCCCTCCGCTCCCGCTGCCGTTCTCCCCGGCAGCCGCTATAAACACGGAACAGCTCCGTTCCCGAGCCGGCGGGAGCAGGGACGGCGGCTCCCGCCTGGGGACACCGCGGTGACATCCTCGGCGGCGGGACGCGGCCCCCACGGTGGTTCGAGCTGAATGTTCCCGGTGATCTGAGCTGGAGGGGCTCAAAGGTGGCGAAGGGAGGCTCTGGGGGGTGTTGGGACATTTCCCAAGGGTTGTGGAGAAGAGGGGGGGCAGCGTCAGGAATGTCGCCCACCCCCCAGCGGGGTGTCCGGCTCTGTGGTGGCCCCATCTTAATCTGAGCCCCAAAAGTCCTCACGGAACTCCAGAGGAACACAAGAAACCCCAAGCCCACCCGAACCCCAGGAGTTCTGTGTCCCTGCTCAGACCCCAGCCGGGCACCCCACGGGTGGCAGTGCCACCTCCACGGCCACCACAGGGGCGTCCCAAGGGTCCCGTTGCCCGCTTTTGGGGTGTCCCACGAGGCTGCGAGTCCCGAGGTGTGGCCGGCACGGGGCACGCCGGGACCCGCCGCCCACGAGGGGCGTTCGCAGCCGGGAGCGGGCGAGTTTCGGTGCCACGGCGGGGACAACGTGCGCCGGGACAGCTCCTGGCCGGGGCCAGCCTTCCTCCCGGGCCACCGCGGTGGCCTCGGGCCTTTCCTCCGCTCTTCCTCCGCTTTTCCGCCGGGCCCGGAGCCGGGGCTGCCTTCCTGCCCCGGCCCCGCTTCCTGCCTCCTCCGCGCTCGGCATTCCCGGCTTTTCCATCCTCCCGGGGCTCCTTCCCGAGCTCCACACGGGGGGACCTGGCCTCCATGCTGTCCCCAAACGCTGTCCCGGGTCCCTGCGCCCTCCTGGAGCCCCCAAAGCCCCCGTGGGACCTGTCCCCAACGCGGGCTCCCCGTTCCACCCGCAGCTTCCTTCCAGCCCAGCGGGAAAAGCATCGACTCTGCCCCGGGGCTCCCCCGGGGAGCGGCCACCCCCCGATCCCATCGCTTTTGGGGATCTCCCGCTGACCCAGCTCCTGATCCCCGCTCAGGGGCTGGGAAGGAGCCGGAGCTTCCCCGGAGCATCCCCACCGCAAACACGCGGGTTTTGGGGAGCTGAGAGCCCCTCGGGGCTCGGGGGTGCTGCTGAGGGCAGAACATCCCCACGCTGGGCCCGAGGGTGTCCCCCAAACCCGGCCGTGCCTCAGCCCGGTGGCAGCGGCAGGACGGGACCCGCGCGGGGCCCCCCTGCCCAGGCAGCCCTGAGCAAACAGGGAAGTGAAAAATCTCCTTTTCCTTCCCCCCGCCGGGCTGGGTGTCACCGCCTTGGGGTGACCTTCCCCTGCACTCGGCCGCCTCGATCCCCCCTCTCCTCCCCGCCGCTCCCTCCCGGCTGCGGGCTGGGCCGGGCTCCTTATCTCCCTCGCAGGCTGACGCAAGGTTTGCTCGTTCTGCTGCTCCCAGAGCCCTGCTGCTCGTGGTGTCACCTTCCCCCGAGGGTTCAGCCCCCCGCGGGTCTCGCCACCCCCTCCTGGGCATCTCTCCGTGCCGAGAGCAGCCGGGTTTCCCCCCGGTCCCGGTGCCGGGAGCGGCTGCCGGCCCTCTGCTCCAGCCAGGAATAAGTGGATTAGGAGCCGATCTCGTTATCGCTGCTGGCAGCCTCGCAAGGGCCCTGGGATGGGGACAGTGACGGCGACAGGGCTGGGGACAGCGGCGGCCGGAGCCCGGCGCGGGGTGGGACGCGGCCGCAGGCGCTGAGAGCCGGGCTCGGCTGCCTGCTGCTCGCAGGGATGCGGCATCCGGGCTCTAATGAGGCGGGACGGTTAATTAGTCAGTGTCAATTTATGTTAATTAGTCGGCCGGGGAGTGGAGACACTGCTGGCTCTGCCACCTGGCTGGCACCGGGGGGACACGTGTGGGGCCGAAGGTGACAGGGCGGGGACGGCTCCGAGGGCGCTCCCAGCGCGGTGAGTCAGGGCTGAGACCCCGCAGGAAACCCCAGGGATTTCCAAAGCGCCCTGGAAAGCCCCGCGCTGGGATTTCCTCCCTCTTCCCGAGGCTCTCTGGGTGACGGCAGGCCGGGAATGTCGGAGGGGAAAGGATGGGAAGCAGGGATCCGGCCAAGGAGTGGCCCCGCTCGGGCAGGGATGGAGCAGCTGCGTTGTTTACTCAATCCAGCTTGCGCTGCTCTTCGTTCCCGGGCTTTTTTCCTTCTCCAGACAGGGCTGTGACCGCAGAAACAAAGGCAAAACTTTAATCCCGCAAATCCCCCTCTCTTCCCAGCGAAGGCCGCGGGTGTTTGTCCCTCTCCGAGGGGACGCTGGGGTCGGACCCCGCCCGGGGGCTGCCCGGGGGCGGCTCAGCCGCAGCCAGAGCGGCTAAAAATATCCCCGCGTCTTCACGGAGGTGCTGCAGCCGCAACCAGCCGTGCAAACCGGACCGAAATCCAGTCAGCCGCATGCGACAGGAGCTGGGGACGCGTCCCCCCGGCCCCGCGTGGCTGCCGGGGGGGACACGGGGTGCTGGGAGTCCGTGTCCCCCCCGCCGCCCCCCCGGCTTGCTGCCATCTGCTCCGGGTGTGTTCGAGGCGAGGAGGAGCCGCAGAAAAACCAGGTCAGGGCTGTGATGGCAGCGCCGGGGCGAGGCTGTGCCCGCCTGCGAGCACCGTGCCACCCGCCCGTGCCACCCGCGGGACACCCGGCTGGCACCGAGCCAGCGGGGACGGCCCTTTGGGATGTCCTGGCACCCCGGCGGCAGCTCCCTGCTGCCATTCCCTGCTGGATCTCGCCCCGCCGCGGCGTGCCCACACCCTGCTGCCAGCGGCCCCGTGCCACCCCCGCCCTGCCCGTGCCACCCCCGGCCCTGCCCGGCGGTGCAGCGCGACTCAAACCCCGCCAGCCCCCCAAATCTGGGCAGCCAGAGCAGCGCAGCCCCTCCATCCATCCATCCATCCATCCATCCATCCATCCATCCCTCCCTCCCTCCCTCCATCCCTCGCTCCCTCCCTTCCCGGGGGGCTCCCCGTGCCCGCCCCGGTGCCCACCCGAGCCCCGCCCGTGCCCGCGCGGTGCGGGTGCCAGCCCCCGCGGCAGCTGCCTGCATTTCATGCATTTTTAAGGAGAAGAAGGTTAGTGGGTCACTCCAGCGCCGCGGGCTGTTCTCCGCCGGAGCCGCTCCGCTGCCGAGCGCGGGGGCTGGGCCGGGGGGGCGGGCAGGTGGGCAGCACGAGCCTGGCACGGCCACCCCCGCTGTCCCCGTGGTGTCCCCGCGGTGTCCCCGCTGTGTCCTCGTGGTGTCCCCACGGCTGGGAGCAGCGGGATCCCGTCCTGCTCCCAGCAAGGAGAGAGCTGAGGGGGGGTCTCCGCAGCCCTCCCGTGGGGCTGGGGGCGCTGGGGGGCAGCGCCCCGAGGTTCGGGGTCCTGGGGAGGGGAAACGGCCGCGGCTCAAAGCGAATGAGGAGCCAGAGAGCCAGAAAAAACAGCGGCGGCTTCGGTGGCACCCGCGGGGCCCCCCGCGCCCTGCCCGCCCCTCCCGGGCTCGGAGCCCCCGGGATGGGGGCACGGGAACCCCCCGGGGGAGCCAGAGCTGGGGGGACACGGGAGAGGGGTCGGGGGGGTTGGGGTGGGGGCAGATGTGGGGTGAAGGCAGACCTGAGGGAACCCGAGTGTGGGGTGAGCCCAGAGCTGGGGGAGGTCAGATGTGTGGGGGATCCCGATGTGGGGCGAGCCCAGGTGTGGGGCGAGCCCAGACACGGAAAAAAACAGATGGGGGGGGAACACCACCCCAGAACCTGGGTGAACCCAGACCCGGGAAAAGCCGGACCTGGGTAAAACCAATGTGGGTGAACCCAGACCCGGGAAAAGCCGGATCCCAGATGTGTGCAGATGCAGATGTGGGGTGCCCCCAGGCCCTGGGTGCGATGGCAGCGCTGCGGCCCCGCTCTGCCCCGGCTCCCCCCGGTCTCCCCGGCTCTCCGCGGTTCCCCCGCACCCCCCGCATCCCCCCGCGCTGCCGTTGCCATGGTTACGGCCATGCAAGTCTGCCCGAGCTGCATCCGCCGCTGCATCCCAGCGAGCCGTGGGGGCGGGGACGGCCCCGCTGCCCCCCCCCGCCCTCCCCCACAGACCCCAAAACCGGCTGGAGACCCCTCCGGGAGCTCACCCCGAGCCCCTTCCAGCGGGACCCCCCGCGCTCACCCCGCCCTGAGAGCCGAGCGGGGGTGAGCGGGGTGGGAGCAGCACCCGACTCTGGAGGGTCCAAAACCCCTCCGTGCCCCCCATCCCCAGGGGGTGGGAGCTCATCGGGCACGGCTGGAACGCCTGGCAGGGCAAAACGCTCCCCAAAAACCGCGGCCCTCCCCCCGGAGCCACCCCCGAGCTCTCCGGGGGGAATTCTGCTGCCGGCGGTGAAGCAACGCCGGGATAAAGGGAAGGAGGGGATTTCTGATGGAAAGTTGCAGACAGCCCTGGCAGGGCCGGGATTCCCCCCCCGGGTTCTGCTCCCGGCTCCCCCCTCGCAGGGACCAGCCCCTGCCCCACCCCGCCCGCGGGGAATTTCGGTTTTCCAGGAATTCCCGGGGGTTCAGGCAGGACCTGGGGAGAGGGAGCAGCCACGGGAGCGTTGGGGGTGTTGATGCTGCAGGTTCCTGATGAGGTTTTGTAATTAATATTCCATCGGGACGAGCGGGGCGGGAAGTTCGTGGCTCTCGGGGATGATTTCAGTGCCACAAACAACACCCCCATCACCTAAACGCTCCTCAAAGTCCCTTCCGACCCAAACCGAGGCGGTTTTAGGCGCTCAGCATCCCTCCGGTGCTGCCCATGGCGACACCCAGGGTCGGTTTGGGTGTCCCTGTCTGTCAGTCCGGCCCCTTCCCCCCTCGTCCCGGGCACGCAGCGGCCTCTTCTCCCGTCAGATGTCGCTGAAAGGGAACAATGCCACGTATTGTCTGTCCCCGCTCGGCGCTATCAGCCCCGGCAGCGCAACAAAAAGCCACATTGACTCGCGGGGAGAAAGGGGCCCTCACATCCCGCTGCTCCCGGGGGAGGCAGCGCGGCCCCGCAGCGCCCGGCCCCGCTCCGAGCCCCGCTCCCCGGCCGGCAGCGGCCACCGGCCCCGGGGGTCGGGCAAAGGGGGCGGGAGGGGTGTGGGGTGGTGTCCTGCTGCCGGGGGTCTGTGGGATCTCTGGGGTCTGTGGGGTCTGTACAGTCTGTGGGGCCTGTGGGACCATTGGGGTCTGTGGGATCCGTGGGATCCGTGGGATTTGTGGGCGGGGTGGGGTCCATGGGATCCCTGGGGTCTGTGGGATCTTTGGTGTCCATGGAACCTGTGGGATCCATGAGGTCTCTGGGGTCTGTGGGATCCATGAGGTCTCTGGGGTCTGTGGGATTTCTGGGGTCTGTGGGATCCATAGGGTCTCTGGGACCCCTGGGGCCTGTGGGATCCATGGGGTCTCTGGGATATCCGCGGTCTGTGGGATCGCACCCAGCGGAAGCAGGGCTGCCCGGGGGTCGGGCAAAGGGGGCGGGAGGGGTGTGGGGTGGTGTCCTGCTGCCGGGGGTCTGTGGGATCTCTGGGGTCTGTGGGGTCTGTACAGTCTGTGGGGCCTGTGGGACCATTGGGGTCTGTGGGATCCGTGGGATCCGTGGGATTTGTGGGATCTGTGGGGTCCATGGGATCCCTGGGGTCTGTGGGATCCATGACGTCTCTGGGGTCTGTGGGATTTCTGGGGTCTGTGGGATCCATAGGGTCTCTGGGACCTCTGGGGTCTGTGGGATCCATGGGGTCTCTGGGATCTCCGGGGTCTGTGGGATCGCACCCAGCGGAAGCAGGGCTGTCCCTGTGTGCCCTGCCCAGGTGAGGCCACACCTGCAGAGCCGCCCGCAGCCCTGGGCCGGGGCCCCGGGGGGGTCTGGAAGTGCCGGAGGGATCCCAGAGACGCTCCAGGGAGAGCTGGGGGTGCCCGCCTGGGGAGGAGAGGCCCAGAGCTCCTCGCAGGGGCTCCGAGAGGGCCGGAGGGGTTTGGAAAAGGCCGGGAGTGACAGGAATGGTTCCCCAGTGCCGGAGGGCAGGGCTGGCCGCGATGTTGGCATCCCAAATCACACCCACCCCTCCCGTCCCGTGGCGTGCGGGAGCCAGGAAGCAGCACGGGAAAAGCTGCGCTTGGAGCGAGCCTGGCTTTTGTTCGCACTGTAAACTTCCCTCTGGGCCGGGAAGGATGCTCTGGAAGCTGTCCCTGGCCGGGGCAGAGCCCTCCCAGCCCCGCTCCCGGCTGGATGCTGATTCCCGGCTTTCCCAGGCAGCCCTGGCAGCCCTGCAGAGCTCCCGGAGGCAGCTCAGGGTCAGGCAGCCCTTATCAGCCGGGACAGGGAGATAAGGAATGTGGGATGAGCAGGATGCCCCGGCCAGGCCCTTGTGGGGGTTCCTGTTCTGGGCCAGGCTGGGAAAGGCCATGTGGGGGTGTTGATCCCCAAAATCTGCCAAAACTGCCCCAGACCATGGCACGTGGTGTCCCCATTGTCACCCTGGGGTGCACAGCCCAGCCCGAGGGTGGGGCTGGAGGGGTTCGGGGTTGGGGCATGGCTTTGTTTGTAAAAATCCCAACTGTGACCCCAGGAAGGGCAGAGGGGCTCCGGGATAGGACGGGAGGAGATTCCTCTCTCTTCCCTCGCTGTGACTCTCAGGCCGAGCAGGGGAGGGGGCGAGGGGCTGGGAGGGCCCGGGGCTGGGGCCGATCCCTCGGGATGATCCCACGGGAGGGGAGAAGCCGGCCCAGCAAGAGCGAGCGCGGTTGCAGGAGGCGCTGGTTGCCATGGGATCTTCACAACCAAAAATGACGGGGCTCTGGCAGACACAAGAAGGGGCCCTTTCATGGTTTCTATGGGAAGTCAGAGCCTCTCCACAGCCTCCCGGGCTGGAGCCCTGCCCAGGGCAGGAAGGATTTGGGGACACTGGTGCTGGGCCCTGCAGAATTCCCAGCAGAGCTTTGCGTGGCCCGGGAGCGCCTCAGAGGTCGCTGGGTGCCACGAGCTGTGCCCAGCTCCTGCTTGGTGCAGGGCAGAGATGCCCTGCTCCTCCTGCTGGGCCTCGTTCCCAGCAGGAATCCCCCAGCACGGAGATTTTCCTGCTGCAGCTGGGGAAGCTCGGCCCCTTCGCCCTGAACCCCCACGGGATGCACACCTGGAGCATCCCGGGCGAGCTTCCACATCCTGGGAAACCAAACTGCTGCAGCATGGAAGGGACAGCCCCAGACCCTACAGGGGCAGCCCCAGACCCCACAGGAACAGCCCCCAGACCCCACAGGAACAGCCCCCACAGGAACAGCCCCCAGACCCCACAGGAGCAGCCCCCAGACCCCAAAGCACTCTGGGCTGTCCCCAAGGGCTGTCCCCGTCCCTGCCGTGGTGGCAGAAGCCTTCACCATCCATCCAACTCTCCCTGCTGGAATTCTCTCCCCGGAGAGCTCTAATGAGTTAATTCCCTCGCTATTTATAAATCAATGTGGAAATCCCTCTGTTTTTATTCCCAGCGCTGTCGCTCGCCCTGGCTGGGCCCCTTTAACTCGGGATAAAATCCCGGAGCGGATGAGCCGGGCCCATGAATAAATAATTGCGTTAATTCCTCGTTAAGGGCTGGGAGAACGGGGCAGGACGAGGGGCTGGGCCGGTCCCTCTGTCCCTCTGCAGCTCCCGGCTCTGCCCTGCAGCCTCCCGGCGCTTAACACCCAATAAATTAATAATCAGCCGCAGTTTAAGTAGGTCTGGAAAGTGGAAAACAACATCCGCAAGGATCTGGCGTCCCCCCGGGCTGGCGGGCAGGAGCAGCAGAGATTTGTCTGCCTGTCCATCTGCTGGGGGAGCGGACAGACCGTAATCTGCAAATTCCTGCCCCTTCCAAAGCCCCGGCTGGAGCTGGAGCCGCTCCTGCCCCTCCCTGGAGGCAGAGACGGGGACAGAGCCAGCCCGGGGCTGGGGGGCACTGGTGGGCACTGGGAGGGTTTGTGCTGGGATTCAGGAATTCCTGGTGGGCACTGGGAGGGTTTGTGCTGGGATTCAGGAATTCCTGGTGGGCACTGGGAGGGTTTGGTGGTGCTGGGATTCAGGAATTCCTGGTGGGCACTGGGAGGGTTTGGTGGTGCTGGGGTTCAGGAATTCCTGGTGGGCACTGGTTTGCGCTGGGATTCAGGAATTCCTGGTTTGCTCTGGGAGGGTTTGGTGGTGCTGGGGTTCAGGAATTCCTGGTTTGCTCTGGGAGGGTTTGGTGGTGGTTGGGTTGTGCTGGGGTTCAGCAATTCCTGGTTTCTGATGGTTCCTGTCCTCCAGCATGGGGTCAGCACGTGTCCCCAGGCACACAGGGAGCTGGGAAAGGTGGGAGCTGGGGAAACTGGGGGCTGGAAAAGGTGGGGAAACTGCGAGCTGGGAAAGCTGGGAAAGCTGAGAGCTGGAAAAGCTGGGAGCTGGAAAAGTTGGGAAAGGTGGGAGCTGGGAAAGGTGGGAGCTGGGAAAGGTGGGAGCTGGGAAAGGTGGGCATTCGGAAAGCTGGGAAAGGTGGGAGCTGGGAAAGGTGGACAAGCTGCTGTGGACGTGCCTGGGCACAGCACAGGGAGCTGCAGGGCTGCCGTGGGCGCTGCGGGGCAGCAGAGCCGAGCCTGCAGCAGGGCAGGACGGAGGGCAGAGCTGGGCACGGCCCGGACCCAGCGGGAGCTGGAATTGATGAGCACAGCCCTCGGGCAGCGCTGCAGGAGAGGCCGGGATGGGAGGGACGGGGATCCCTCGGGGTGAAAGCTGCTGGGAAAGGCTGCCAGGAGGGCTGGCAGGGTTGGGGTGTCCCTGTCACCCCCAGCTCTGCCCCCGGTCCTGCCCAGCCCCGCTGCAGGTTGTGCTTCACGCATCACATCCCTGTCCCGGCGCTCTGGGACACGGGAGAGGCGTGGGGTGGGATTCTTTGTCCCCTCTGGCAACACCTGGAGAAGGTGAAGCGTCCCTGGGGCGGCTGCTGAGCCCAACCCCATAAATCCCCTTAAATCCAAGGAAACTCCTCCCCACAAGCACCGGGAACACGCTGGTGTCCCCAGCCCGGCAGGCAGAGCCACGCTGGGGCTGCCACCAGTGGGAATGGTCCAGGGGGGACGAGCTGCTGGGGCCATTCCCATGTGGGGCTGCCGTGGCTTTGGGATGGGAGATGGGAATGGGGCTGTCGTGTGGATTTGGAGGAGCCCTGAGGGGGCTGGAGCTGGTGGAGGTGGGTTTGGCACAGCCAGAAGAGGATGGGATCCATGGGATGGGGTGGGATGGGATGGAATGGGGTGGGATGGCATGGCATGGCATGGTATGGCACAGCAGCACAAGGCCTGTTTGCATTCCAGGATGAAGTGCAGGTGGGAAGAGAAGTGTGGATTCACCGTGGGTATTTCCCAAGGCTGCCGGGACACCGGGAAGGGCTCCCCTGCCCTTTTCCTGCCCAGCTGGGAACACCAGCCTGGAGCTGGGACTGGGAACAAACACCGTGTGCCCGCCAACCCCCCAGTCCCTCCCACTCCTGATCTGCCCAAAACCTCCCTGGAGCTCCGTTCCCAGCAGGGAACACCCTGCCCAGCTCCCCGGGCTGCTCGGGACGCTCCGGCCCTCACGGCCAGCCCGGCAGCCGGCCAAGGGCTTTTTATCAACTGGCACCCAAAAGTCAATAAGGAAGATGCTGCCTGTTTTAATTAACAGCAATTTCGCTCTGCCGGGGGCGAGCCATGTGCCCTGGGGGAGGGAGGGAGGCCGGAGACAAAACATGACCTTGTTGGTGCAGCACACACAGCGGGACATTGTTTTCCCCTCGGAGTCTGGCCTTGGATGCTGCCGGGCTCGTGGCACAGCTGGGTGCTGGGGACAGGGGGTGCTGCCAGCCCCGGTGGCTCCGGAGCAGCCCTGGTGGGAGCAGGGTGACTGGGAAAGCGCAGAGTTGGGGATGTGGCAGCTGGGAGCTGCCCTCGGGGAGTGCTGGAGGCTGGGGATGGCACAAAAAGGGATTTTGGGAGCCCTCAGCGGGATCCAGCGGTGGCTGCAGGGAGTGGATCCCCCTGGCACTGCCAGGGCCTGGCACGGATCCTGCGGGCCCCAGGCCAGTGCAAACAACCCAACGCTTCAGTCCCGCTTTCCTTTCCCCTCGGTTCCCCTATTCCGGGAAATCAGAGAGGAGGAAAAACCCAGAGGGGAAAAACCTCCCTGAGCGGGTGCCAGGCTGCTCGGGAGGGGGGTGTGACACGGGGCACGGCCTGTCCCCACTGCAGGACTGTCCCCACTGCAGGACACCCCGGGGATGGTGGGGCTGGGGTGAGCAGGACCCTGGAATGAGCAAAACCCCGGGATGAGACACCCTGGGGTGACAGAACCACGGAGTGACAGGACCGAGGCCAGCTGCACCAGGACAGTCCTGGGGGGGACAGAAAGGGACCGAGTGGCACCGTGGGACCCTGCTAGGGGTGACAGGGCTGGGGTGAGCAGCACCCGGGGGTGGCAGGGCTGGGGGCACGGGCACCCAAGGGTGGCAGGGCTGGGGGCACGGGCACTGCAGGGAGTTGGTGATGGGGACACGGGCACCCCAAGGGTGGCAGGGCTGGGGGCACGGGCTCGCGGCGCTGCCTAACGCGCTCCCCCCGCAGGAGAACGGCCATGTCATCTCCAACGGGGACATGACGCCCAAGGCGGGGGTCGAGGCGACCCCCCAGAACGGGACCGGCTCGGCGGAACCCCCCAAGGAGGAGAGCGAGGCCGAGGCGGGCGCTGCCGACAGCATCGAGCCCGCCCCGGCCGCCGCCGAGCCCGCGGGGGACGGCGCCGCGACCCCCAAGGACGCCCCCAAGAAGAAGAAGAAATTCTCCTTCAAGAAACCCTTCAAGCTGAGCGGGATCTCCTTCCGCAAGGGCAAGAAAGAGGCCGGCGACTCCTCGGGCTCCTCGCCCACCGAGGAGCGGGGCGGCAGCTCGGAGAGCCCCCCGGGGGGGCTGCAGCCCTCGGCTCCCCCCGAGGAGCAGCCGGGAGAGCCCCAGGATGGAGGAGAAGCCGCGGGCAGGCGGGAGGAAGAGGAGGAGGAGGAGGAGAAGAAGCAGCAGCGCAGAGGCACCCGGGGGCTCTGGGCTTTGGGGGAGCAGCGCCCTGAGGGTATCAGGGATGGGTGAGGGGCACCCCGGGGGTGACAGAGCTGCCATGAGACCCCACCCAGGAACGGGGGTACCCCCACCCCACCTTACCCCACCTGCCCCGACCTTGGCGGCCGCACGGGCGGGGAGGGGGCTCGGCGGCCGCCAGAACCCCCCGGTACCGGCGGGGCGGCGGCTCCCCCGCGCTCCCCCCGCCCTCGGGGCGGGCTCGGCCCCGTCCCGCCCCCGCCCCTCGCCTTATCAGCGGCCGGCGGGGGGCTCGCCCCACTCCCGCCCAGCGCAGCCGCCGCGGCGGGGCCGGCACCTCCCCGAGTGCCGCACCATGGGCAGCCAGGGCTCCAAGGCGGCGGCCGGCGACGCCGACACCGCCAAGGCCAACGGGCAGGTGGGTACCGGGGGCACCGGGGGGCACCGAGCGCCCCGCCGGGACGGGCGGCAGCGCGGACAAAGGAGCGGCGGGGCGGGCGCGGTGCTGGAGCCGCGCTGGAGCCCGGGGGAGCCTTGCGGCCCCCGGGGGGACACCAAAAGCGAGGAGAGCTCGAAAAGCGCCGAGCCTACAGCGAGCCCGGAGCTGAAAGAAGAATAAAAATCACTCGGGGGGTCCCGAGAGCGACCCCCGAGCCCCCCCGGTCCCCACGGACTCCGCAGCCCCGGACGGACACACGCCCCGGACGGACACACGCCCCGGACGGACACACGCCCCGCACGCGGGCGCGGTGCTGGAGCCGCGCTGGAGCCCGGGGGAGCCTTGCGGCCCCCGGGGGGGTCTCTGCAGCTCGGTGGGTACCGGGGGGATGCGGCACCGCCCGCGCCGCGCCCCGGGCTCCCCCCGGCACCGGGCGGGTCCCGTCCGCCGCCGCGCCCCGGTACCGGGAGTGGAGCGCGGGCGCCGCCCGCTGGCAGCGCGCTGGGCACGCCCCGCAGGTGTTTCTGCCTCTCTCTCCCGTGCTCCCCGGTCCCCGTAGATCAAAGCTGGTTTGGATTCCCACCGCCGCCACTCGGAGCGGTTTGAGCTGAATTCCTCGGGAAAAAGAAAAAAAAAAAAATAACAAAAATAACAACTGGGGAGGAAGATTTGGCCCGGACGCCTCTGGAGTTTACAGTTTGGGAGAAGCCGGATCCCAAATCCTGCTGGGGTCTCTCCAGGCTGTCCCCTCTCCTCCCGCTCACTGCTCCACGGAATTCTTGATTTTTTTTTTTTTTTTCGTTTTGTGGTTTTTTTCCCCTTTATTTCTCAGTTTACATTCCTGGTTCTGACTCTTCATTTCAAGTATTTCGTGCTTTTTTCTATAGAAATCGATGGTTTAAAAAGCTAATCTGGTTAGTTTTTTTTATAATATGTCCTCTGTTGGCTTAAAACCATAAAGCTTGTAAGTGCGCTGTGTTTAATTCTGCTTTTAAGGGATAACTTTTGGGGTGTGGGGTGGAGAGAAGGGGGCCCTGCCAGCTGTATAATGTGAAGCCAACGTCGTTTTGTTTTATTTTTTCTTCTCTGTAAATAATTTTTTAAACGGCCAAAAAAAAAGAAAAAAAAAAAAAACCGCCCGATTTGCAATTTTTTAACTTGTAAAAAAAAAAAAAAAGACAAAAAATTAAAAAAAGAAGCAAGAAACCCAACCAACCCAGCAAACAAAAGCTGTGACGTTTGAAAGGAATAAACGGTGAGCCCTGCGCGGGGGAGCTCGAGTCCTTCTTGTCGCGGTCGCTCCTCCAGCCCCGCAGCTGCTGCCCTTAATGAGCGCCGCGCTAATTGAGCGGCAGCAGATGCGGAGCCGCCACAAAGGACTCGCCCAGCCCAGCCCGGCGCTGCTCCGCTCCCATCCCTTGGATTTTCCCGGAAAAACCTCGGGGGTTTGACTCGGGATGAGGCGGAATTCCCCATTTGAAGCTTGGTTCCTTTAAATTTAATTTATTTGGTTCCTTTAAATTTAATTTATTTTAATTTATTTGGTTCCTTTAAATTTAATTTATTTTATTTTGTTCCTTTAAATTTAATTTATTTTTATTTATTTTTATTCTTTTAATTTAATTTTTTTTTTTTTTGGAGGGGGATTAGCTGCTGTGGGCTGAAAGGAGCACAAAAGGCGAGGCTGGCAGCAAAGATTTCCTGAACAAAGAGGGGAAAACAAAAAAGGAGGCGACAATGGAGCCTCTGTCCCTGCTGCTGTCACCTGCGCCGGGCTGGATTTTCCCGGAGCTGCTCCTGATCGGGGATTTTTCCACGGCAGCTCCTCCATTTCCTCCTTGCTCCCGATTTTCCCAGCCCTGCTCCCGCGGGTTTGGCCAGAGAAGAGCAAAAAAAATGAAATTAAATTCAAATAAAATGAACCCCAAAGCGTTGTTTGCCCTCCTGGCGAGGGCAGGGAGCTTCGAGGTGGGTGGGGATATCCAAAAATTCCGTGGTTTGTGCCAAAAAACCAAAATGAGGGGTTTGCTTCCCAAATGGAGTCGTTGGTTTCAGCAGAGGCGTGAAATAAATGGATTTTTAAACCCAGTTTTGAAGGGAAATTGGGAGCATCCGGGCTCTTCCCAAGCCTCGAGGTAGGTGGGAATATCCAAAAATTCCAGGTTTTATCTCAGGGAGCCAAAATCAGGGATCTGCTTCCCAAATGGACTCACTTGTTTCAGCAGAAGGATGAAATAAATGGAGTTTTAAACACAATTTTGAAGGCAAAGTGGGATTTGGGAGCATCCAGTCTCTTCCTCGAGGTAGGTGGGAATATCCAGAAATTCCGTTTTTTGTGCGAGGAAGCCAAAATCAGGGATCTGCTTCCCAAAGGGATCCATTTCTTTGAGCACGGGGGTGAAATAAATTGATTTTTTTACTCAATTTTGAAGGCCAAGTAGGATTTAGGAGCATCTGGGCTCTTCCCAAGCCTCGAGGTAGGTGGGAATATCCAAAAATTCCCTGGTTTGTGCCAAAAAAAACCCAAAATCCAGGACCTGCTTCCCTAATTGATTCATTTGTGTAGAGGGGTGAAATAAATGGGGTTTTTAACCCAGTTTTGTGGGGTTTGGGAGCATCTGGGCTTGAGGTAGGTGACAATACCCCAAAAATTCCGTGTTTTATGCAAGGAAACCAAAATCTGGGATCTGCTTCCCAATGGGATTCATTTTTGAGCACAGGGGTGAAATAAATGGTTTTTTTTTACCCAATTTTGAAGGGAAACTGGGAGCATCCGGGCTCTTCTCAGGCCTCAGGGTGGGTGGGGATATCCAAAAATTCCGTGTTTTGTGCCAAAAAAACCAAAATCAGGGATCTGCTTCCCAAATTGATTCATTTTTGAGCACAGGGGTGAAATAAATGGGTTTTTTACCCAATTTTGAAGGGAAACTGGGAGCATCCGGGCTCTTCCCAGGCCTCAGGGTGGGTGGGAATACCAAAAAAATTCCGTTTTTTATGCAAGAAAACTAAAATAATGGATCTGCTTCCCAATGGGATTCATTTTTGAGCACAGGGGTGAAATAAATGATTTTTTTACCCAGTTTTGAAGGATTTGGGAGCATCCGGGCTCTTCCCAAGCCTCGAGGTAGGTGGGAACACCAAAAAAATTCCGTGTTTTATGCAGGGAAACCAAAATCTGGGATCTGCTTCCCAAATTGATTCATTTTTGAGCCCAGGGGTGAAATAAATGGGTTTTTTACCCAATTTTGTGGGGTTTGGGAGCACCTGGCCGAGCTGCAGCCTGGCAGCCATTTCAGGACTGCTGGAAAAGGGGAATTCACTGGAGATCCCACTGGAATTCCAGGGTTTTGTTCCCAAAAAGGGAGGATTCACGTGGGAGGGAGGATGGAGCTCCCTGGGCTGCTCCAGCACACACAAAAAGCTGATTTTTTTGGACTCCAAAAAGATCAATTTGGGGTTTTGTGGCCGTTTCAGGTGTGCTCAGCACTCGTGGAGCTGCTGTGATTAAAGAAAGGAATTTTCATCCTCTGCATTCTGGGTGGATTCACTCAAATCCAGCCCAAAGCTGAATGAAATCCCTCCCTTCCAGCATTTTGTTATTCCCAAATTGCTCCACTCCACGCACAAACCCAGCCAGGGCAGGGATGAGGAGCCAGCTGGGATTTGGGAATAAAACTTTAAAAAAATTTCCCCCAAAATCCCCATCATGTTTTGGGTTCCTTTTTCCAGACAGAGGGAGAACCTCAAGGCTGTTCTGTGAAAAAAAAATAAATAAATCCCAAAACCCAAATAATTTACCAAGGAAATAATTTACAGAAGAGATTCAAGCTGTGTTTGAGGTGTAGGATAAATAAATAAATGTTTTGGTGGGTGGAATTAAACCAACATTCCTCAAAGGAGGAGGGAATGAATGCCTTATTTCCTTATTTTTTTCTTCCCAAATCTTAATTCCACCTGTAAGAAGAGCTCTGAAATGAATGAATGAATGAAGAAAAAAGCAGACCAGGCTCACACCAACCATAGAAATGGAGCAGTTTTATTACAAAGGTTCTGAAAATTCAAAATAAACGCATCTTTAAAAAACCACAATAGATTTTCCCCATCCCTCCCACCTCCCCCAGACACAAAGTTACACTGATCTCTCTCTTGCTTCACATAAAAACACTGAAAATCAGAGTGAAAACCTCACTCAGACCCCAAAGAGACTAAAAAACTCCACGGTGAGGAGGGGAAAAAGAAGGAATTAAAAAAATAAACCCTTTGAAAAAGAAGCTGGGTGAAGTTTTAGCAGCATCACTGGAGCTGGAACCTCAGCAGTGCTCCCGTGGGAGGGTGCAGAACCTCTGGAATTCCAGAGGGATCCCCCTGAGAAAGGAGAGCAGCGAGTGGGAACTGCCTGAAAAAACCAAAAAAAAAATTAAAAATCCGAATTTTTCCCCCTCAAAAGTTGTTTGTTTTGTTTTTTTTTCCCCTCCTCTCCAAAAAAGCTGTACAAAAGGAGAGGTGAAAGGTGCCAAAGGGGATTTGAGGGGGAGGATGGGTGGGAATGCTCAGAGCCCCACCTGCTGCTCCCTCTGAAGGCAACAGGATAAAAAGTTGGGATTTACTGGCCCTGGGAGGGGAATTCTGCTGGAAAACTTGGCTGGAAAATCAGGGAAAATTGGGTTTTTTTAAGGACACACATGAAGAAAAGCTGGCAGCCAGGCTCTGAGGGGAGTTCTGGGGTTCCAGGAGAAAAATGAAGCCAAAAGGGGAGGGATTTTCTCCTCACCCAGAGAGGGGCATAAAAAACCAGGTAAAAAATCCCATCCCTTCCCTCCCTGGAGGTGCATCCACACTCCCTGGATCCAGATCTTGGAAAACTGAACCACCCCCTGAGGGTGATTTTAATTTTGTATTTTTCAGATCTGGGCTCTGGGGCTGTTTCATTAAAAAAAAAAAAAAAAAGAAGAAAAAAAGGATTTTTCAGATTTTTTTTCAGCTGCTTCATCTCTTTCCCCAAGTTTGCTGCAGGGAGGAGCCAACTCTGTCCAAGAACTGCACAATTCTGACCCTGAGAAGTGGCACCAGCTGGCAGGTTTTTGTTTTTTGTGTTTTTTTTGTCATGGTGGAATCCAACTGGAAACCACAAAAGTCTCTCCCAGGCTTCATTTGGGAATTCTCCCATTAAAAAACACCACCAAAAATCGAGGAAAACTAAGAATTGATGGCCATCTTTCCAGCTCACCTGAAATGCAGACACTACTTCTACTTAAATTATTCTTTTCCAAGGTTATTTCAGGAGAGAGGGAAGGGGAGGAAGTGATTTTTGTGTTTTTAGAGCCACACCAAGGAGGGGCAGTGGAAGGCAAAGGGTGAAACTCCCTGGGCAGCAAAGCTGGGCTGCTCAGAATCCTCCCCTGCCTGCTCCCAGGGGAGGGCAGCAAGGAATAATTTACAGTTCTCCAGTCATTTATACAATTATATAGAAATATATACAGAAAACATATATAAAATAGAAATCCTGTGGGGAGGAGGCAACCCAGGAGCTAAACCTATGACAAGCAGCCAGCTGCAGCCACTCAGGTGGATTTTGTCTCTTCCTTCACCCTGGGGAAGCAAAAAAAGAGAAGAATTTGGCTTCAATCAACATTTTGGGTTTGGATCTAACAACAAGGCTGAAAAGTGTTGCTCATCTGGTTCATTTTCAGCTAAAATTTAATTCAATTTCATTAAATTTTTAAATATATTGCTGAAGGAAACAGCAGTGCTTTGATTTTTCAGCCCTCTCAACACCTGCAAACTTCTTCCAGTGAGGAACCTGTGACAAAGCCACCCAAATTGTCACATCAGCCCCTGAATCCCCCCAAACCCCCTGGGCAGGAGCCAGGCTCACCCCCCAAAACCTCTGGGCAGGAGCCAGGCTCACCCCCCAAACCCCTGGGCAGGAGCCAGGCTCACCCCCCAAACCCCTGGGCAGGAGCCAGGCTCACCCTTTGGGCTCTGCTGCTGCTGCTGCTGCTTTTTCCTCTTTTGCTTTTTCCTCTTCTTTCTCATCTGGGGAAAAAAAAAATAAATAAAGACACAGAGCAGTGCAGGAGGAAGAACTGCAGGCAGGAGGTGCCAGCTGTGCTGCTCACCTTTCTTCTCCTCTTCCTCCTTCTCCTCCTCTGCCTTCACACGTTTGGCTTTCTTGAAGTTGGCCACGTTCTTGCGCCCTCCCTCCCCCTCGTCCTCGGAGTCGGAGAATTCCTCGTCACAGGAGATTCTCTTGTTGGAATTTCGGACTGGAAGGGGAGGGAGCAGAGCTTGGCTGAGCAGATTTTCACCATCAGGAGGCTCCCAGCATTAATCCTCTGAGTGGAGCTCACAGAAATGGGGATTAGGCCACGGTAAAATCACTTTTTGTGGCACCTGCTGCCTGTTGAACTCATCCCTTCCCACCTGCTCCAGGATCATGGGGACAGCTCAGATTGGGCACAGGGGGATGTCTGGGCCTGAGAGCAGGTTTAGAACCTGCCACTGCCAAATCTGTGCCAAGCTGGAGAGAAAACTCCCTTTTCACTGCTGGGATCACACCCAGGGTTCTGCCAAGGGTTCTGTCCCAGCCCTCAGCAACTGCTGCAATTCTCCCTTGAAAACCAAAGGTTTTCCCATCATGGAAATCAGCTGGCAGGAGAGATCCTGCAGTGCTCTGTCCTACCAAAATCCAGCAGGGAGGTGGGAAAGGACTCACATCAGAGGGGTTAAAACAGGACTGAAAGCCCTGGGCAGAGCCTGAGTGAAGCTCCAGCTCCTCCCCGGGGTTTTGGGGGATCCACAAAGCTCCAGCCCAAGGCTTTGACTCTGGGTGTCCCCACACACCAAGGGGGCCAAATCCTGGAGTCAGAATTGGATTTAAACCCTACATCCTCCTCACAAAGAGCTCACAGAGCCTGCTCAGCTTTGGGCTTTTACATTCCCAGCACAATTCCATCCCCAGCACCACCCCCAGCACCATTCCAGCCCCAGCACCATTCCCAGCACATTTCCATCCCCAGCACCATTCCATCCCCAGCACCATTCCCAGCACATTTCCATCCCCAGCACCATTCCATCCCCAGCACCATTCCCAGCACATTTCCATCCCCAGCACCATTCCATCCCCAGCACCATTCCCAGCACATTTCCATCCCCAGCACCATTCCATCCCCAGCACCATTCCCAGCACATTTCCATCCCCAGCACCATTCCATCCCCAGCACCATTCCCAGCACATTTCCATCCCCAGCACAATTCCATCCCCAGCACAGTTTCATTCCCAGCACAATTCCATTCCCAGCACATTTCATCTCCAGCACCATTCCCAGCACATTTCATCCCCAGCACCATTCCCAGCACATTTCCATCCCCAGCACAATTCCATCCCCAGCACCACCCCCAGCACCATTCCATCCCCAGCACCATTCCCAGCACATTTCCATCCCCAGCACATTTCCATTCCCAGCACCATTCCATCCCCAGCACAATTCCATCCCCAGCACAATTCCATCCCCAGCACCATTCCCAGCACAATTCCATCCCCAGCACATTCCCACCCCCAGCACCTACCAGAAATGCGTTTTTCAGGATCATCCTCCTCCTCATCCCCACTGTCCTCCTGGACAGCATCCTCAGGAATTGGCTGCATCTGGACCCCGGGGGCATGAGGGAGCATCCTCAGGTTCTCAAAGAGCCTCTGCCTAGAGCCAGCCAGGGAAGGACACTTTGTCACCACGGGCCACCCAAGGCCACCAGCCCCTGTGAAGGGTTGCTCCCCCCAGGCTCACTTGATTTTCTCCAGGTACTCGTTGGTGTTCTGGTTGGTCATGTTGGAGGGGCTGATGTGCAGCTTGAAGTCTGGCCCAAAGTACTCAAAGTAGTCGTTGTATGGAAGCTCTGGGGGGAAATTAATGGTAATTAACACCAAATTATCAGCAGGAGCAGCTATAGCATTCAGGAATCCAAAAGGGAACATGCAGAGGTAACAGAAGCCCAGCAGCAGCATCTCCCTGAGCTCTTGGGGGGGTCTCACTCACCCCAGCCCTCAGGGGGGGTTACCATTGGGAATCTCAGTGTCCAGAGGCACTGACCCCAGCCCAGGGGGGGTTACCATTGGGAATCTCAGTGTCCAGAGCCAGAGCCCGCACTGACCCCAGCCTTCCTTTGGGGATCTTAGTGTCCAGAGGCACTGACCCCAGCCCAGGGGGGTTACCATTGGGAATCTCAGTGTCCAGAGGCACTGACCCCAGCCCAGGGGGGTTACCATTGGGAATCTCAGGGTCCAGAGCCAGAGCCAGCACTGACCCCAGCCCTGCTCCAGGGACAGTGACCACGGCCAGCACTGACCCCAGCCCAGGGGGGGTTACGATTGGGAGTCTCAGTGTCCAGAGCCAGAACCAGCACTGACCCCAGCTCTGCTCCAGGGACAGTGCCCACGGCCAGCACTGCCCCCAGCCCTGCTCCAGGGACAGTGCCCACGGCCAGCACTGCCCCCAGCCCTGCTCCAGGGACAGTGCCCACGGCCAGCACTGCCCCCAGCCCTGCTCCAGGGACAGTGCCCACGGCCAGCACTGCCCCCAGCCCTGCTCCAGGGACAGTGCCCACGGCCAGCACTGCCCCCAGCCCTGCTCCAGGGACAGTGCCCACGGCCAGCACTGCCCCCAGCCCTGCTCCAGGGACAGTGCCCACGGCCAGCACTGCCCCCAGCCCTGCTCCAGGGACAGTGCCCACGGCCAGCACTGCCCCCAGCCCAGGGGGGGTTACCATTGGGAATCTCAGTGTCCAGAGCCACAGCAGTCTCGTAGGTCCAGCAGCGAGCCACGTTGCGGATCGTGTACCCCCCTCCTCCCAGCATCAGCATGGGCAGGTTAAAGCTCTTCACAAACTCCACACACTTGGCATGGCCTGCAGTGCAAAAACAAGGTGACACTCGTGGCATAAATGCCAGCTTCTCATGGTGTCTCCTGCTGGGCCCGTGGCAGTTCAGGCCTACCTTTGATGGTGAGGTTGAAGCAGCCCAGCCTGTCCCCAGACAGGGAATCGGAGCCGCACTGCAGGACAACAGCGCTGGGCTGGAACGTCTCCATCACCTTGGAGATCACCTAAACAACAAAGGCCCTGTCACAACCCTGCCCACAGGCCACTGTCACAGCAGCACAGTGACAGGCAGGCACGTGAAGCCATCCCTGGTGCTCCCACAGCTGCCCTGCCAACACTGGGGCTCTCACACCGAGGAGCTCCCGCACAGGCCTCGATTGTTCGGGGGGAACAGAGCCCTTGGTGAGTCTTGTCCCAGAAAAAACTCAATAAAATCCCCCAGAGAATGGCCTTAAGGACAAAGTGGGAGCCACAGAGGATCCCTCAGCAGAGGAGGCTTCACTCACAGGCTTGAAAATGGCTTCGTAGGACTCGTCGTCGATGCCGTCGCGCAGCGGGTAATTGACAGCGTAGTACTTGCCTTTGCCTGCCCCGATGTCCTGTGGGGTGAGAGAGCAGAACAGAGCTCACCAGAAACCCAAATCCTGCCCCAGACTGGCAAAGGAAGCTTGGAACCCAGTCAAATCCAGAGATAAAGCCAGAGTAATTAATATTGTTAAATATTAACGATTTGCTGCGGAGATGCAAAGCAGCGGGCTGGGCTGGGCAGAGCAGTCGCTGAATCTATTCAGCCACTGAATTCTATTTTAAAAGAAAAATAAAATATTCTACAATGAAATATTATATATTTTAACATTTTTATCACTCTCACATCCAAGTGGCTTATTAAAAAGTTTTTTCATTATTGGTGCAGCACCAAGCTCTTGGCAAGGCTGAAAAAATACAAATCCCGAGTGAAAGATGAGAGGATTTAGATTAAAAAAACCCCAATTCCTGTAAAAATCCCATAAAAATAAGTAAAGAACCTTTCACCCCTGAGAACAGAAGTTCTGGCAATGTCACAAGTCACAGGTGACACTCTGAGTCACTGCAGGAAATGCCAATAAAAATCCACTCCCTCAGAAACCTTCACCGAGAGTTTGTGTCACCAAGCTGGGGCTGCAGTGACCCCAATGTCACCTCCAGGGTCACTTTTGTGAGCACAACCCCACCAGAGAGCAAAGCTCTGGCTTTAATCAATGACCACCCACCCCTGTGCCCTCAGAAAATGGGTGTCAGCCAGGGACAGGCAGGAAAGCTGGAAAAAACCCCAAATTTCCTGGGGGTTTGGTGGCTCTCACCCTCAGGTCCCCGGTTCCTGGGAAATATTCTCCATATTTGTGGAAGGACACGGTCATGACCCTGTCTGTGGTGTAAAAAGCCTCCTCCACCCCGTCCCCGTGGTGGATGTCGATGTCAATGTACAGCACTCGCTGGTGGTACCTGGGAAAAATCAGAATATTGCATTTATTCTGAGGGAAAACTGCTCCAGAGCTCGGGAAACTGGGAGCAGAGCAGGGAATTCAGGGCAGGACTTGCAGGGGAAGGAGCAGCAGGGAAGGGACAGCAAATAAAGGGATTTTTGCTGCTGAGTTTGCTTCAGATTCAGCCAATAAAGTGCATTTTTCTGCACATTTTTCTGCACATTTTTGTGCCCAAGCCTCCCACAGTGGTTTGCCTGGAGCCAGAAGCTGTCACACAGCCAGGGCTGGGACAAAGAACAGCAGCAAAAAAATGAAACATCCAAAAAGCTGCAAAAATCCTCTGCCTGCTGCTGAGGGAACCCTCACTGGTGGAATTGCAAATTCCCTGTCCCACATCCTGGATCCATGGATGTCCCTGAGCCAGGAAGGGGGGATCCCAGCCACTGCTGGAGGAGAAATAAATCCAGAGGAGCTGGGATTGATTTACAGCCCCAACAATTAGAATTTAATTAATTTATAATAAAGACTATAATTTATATAATATTTATCATAATATTATAAATGGTATATTTAAAATAATAGTATAAATATTCTAATTATGTCTAATAAATAGTGAAGTATAGAATTATATTATAGAATTATCTATATTACAATTATTATAACTGTGTATCTTATGTATTATATTATATATTCTAAACATTATGTTGTGTTATATTATAGTATATATTATATTACATTACATTATATATTCTATATATTTTATATGTTATGTAAATTTAATATATAATATGATAATTTATCATTATATCATATTATAATAGATTATATTACGTATTATATATTACATGCATTGTTATATTAATTATACATTTAAAATTACACATTATATATATAATGTTCATTTATATATTATATATTAATTATATATTTTCTATTATATATAATGCTATATTGATATATTATTATATATTTTATATTACATATATAATGCTATGTTATGTTGATATTATATCATATTAATTACATTATTCCCAAAAATCCCTTTTGATATTTTCCCCCCCAAAATCCCTTTTGCGAGAGAGTGCAGCAGAGCCCAAAAAATCACCAAAACCCCAGAATCAATGAAAAATGCAGAGCAGAAGCAGTGGGAGGGGGCAGAGGTGCTGCCCGTACTTGAGGAGCTCCAGGATGGCCAGCACGATGTCGTTGACGTAGCAGAACCCAGAAGCTTCTGATTTTTTGGCGTGGTGGAGACCTCCTGCCCAGTTCACTGCAATGTCTGTCTGCTGCTTGTTCAGCTTCACAGCACTGGCTGGGGAGGAAAGAAACCCCACAGGGGTCAAGGAACCCCACAGGGGTCCAGGAGGGAAAAGCCTGGCACTGAGCCTGAGGTGAGCTCCAGCTCCTCCCCGGGGTTTTGGGGGGGCTTCACAAACCCCCGGGGTTTTTGGGGGCTCCTGCTCCAGGGTTTGACTCTGGATGCCCCCACAAATCAAGGGAAAATGGGAAATATTTCTCAGCCTTTCCACTTTTGTCTCAGAGCAGGAAAATCCCCACAAACTCAGCACCCAGCTGGGGTCACACTGGAGACAATCTGGGTTCTCAGAGCCCTGAGCAGAGCAAGGTTTTAGCTGAGGTATGTTGGGGTTATTGAGTGAAAATTCACCCAGGCAGAGGAAGTTCTCCTCTCCCAATCCCTTCCATCAACTCCCTGCACATTCTGGAACCTCCCAGGATTCAAATAAATCAGGAATTCTGCAGCCCTGAGAGCAGGGCTGGAAATTCACCCAGGCAGAGGAAGTTCTCCTCTCCCAATCCCTTCCATCAACTCCCTGCACATTCTGGAACTTCCCAGGATCCAAATCAATCAGGAATTCTGTGGAATTCTGCAGCCCTGGGAGCAGGGCTGGAAATTCATCCAGGCAGAGGAAGTTCTCCTCTCCCAATCCCTTCCATCAACTCCCTGCACGTTCTGGCATCCCCCAGGATCCAAATCAATGAGGAATTCTGTGGAATTCTGCAGCCCTGGGAGCAGAGAGCACAGAGCTGCCCCAGCCCCTGCTGCAGCCAGTGCTGGGTGCTGCTGGCACAGGAAGCACAGGCTGGAGGTGTCACTGTGGCAGCAGCAGCCACAAAGCTCTCAGGCAGAGCACACAAACAGCTCTGCTGGGAGTGATGAGAAAAAAAAAAAATATTTCAATGTTCCAGCTCTCAAACCTTTCAGTTTCTGCTTTGCCTCATGCCCAGAGTGTTTTTTTTCAAAAACAGCAGCTAAGCCACCCTGGTCTTTCCTTCTCAGGTTGTGCCTGCTCAGAGTGAGACTTTTACAACTTTTATTTGAATGTAAAGCTCAGGTTGGTTTGTTTTTTATTTTTTTTTTTAATTCAACTGTGCTGTTGTGGTTTTGTTTTAACTCTTTTTTAACTCTTTTTTTTTGTTTTAACTCACTGGTGATGTTACAGAGCCTTCAGTGAGGTAACCCAAACTAGTGATTAACAAATGGAAAGGGAATCAACAGGCAAAGCTTGGAGAAATCTGGATTTCGTTATGAAATCAGCAACAGGTTCACAGAGACAGAATATAAAACAATAAAAAATACACAGGATTTGTGATCTTACCAACAGAGCCTCCAGCAGAGAGCTGACAGAACTCAAAGAGCCCATCAAACACAGGGCAGTCCTCCCCAACATTAACTGGAAGAGAATGGAAAAGAGTCATTAAAATAAAAGCAGAAATAAAATCCAAATTTTACACCAACATTTGGATTGGTTAAGTGGCCCAAAGTGTTAAACCAAATGCTGTGATCACATGATGCAATGGAAATGTGTGGCTGACACTTTGCACACTCCCTTAACTTCAAATCACACAGTTTTGGCTTCTCAGCACAACTGGAGTTTTAGCCTCAATACATTTTTACTGTAATTAATTCCACTATTAAAAATAGTTACTCATTACAAGAAATTAAACTTCAGGCCCTTTGATTTACTCTGCCCAAGTCTGGCATGCAAAAATGGAATTAAGAGACTGTTCATTCCCTTTCCAGCAGGTTTTGTTGAAGAAAAGCTCTGTCCTTTGCATGTTTAATTTTCACATTTTGGCTTTTTCAGGAAAAAAAACAGTGCAGAAAACACTGAGCACCAGCGAGAGCTGAGTCTTCATGAGCTGTGGCTGCTCCAGGGGTAAACAGGTCAGTTTGGGTAAAAAATCCATTTTGCTGGATGTCATTTGGTGGATTAAAGGGTATCATGGACTGGGGGAGGCTTTCAGTGTGTATTAATCATCAACCTTGTGCAGAAATATCTGTCCCCTTCAGCTCTCAGGGCGTTTCCAAGAGTGAAATGTTGTTTAAATGAAGCTTGAGCTCTCCCCACTGGTTGTCTGGGCTTGTTAGAAATCTATTTTGCCATAAAAAGCATCAGCTCAGAGCAGCTGAGACACCAAATCCAGGTTTTTGTACCATTAAAGACTTTCCATGGATTGGAGAGGTTGGAACAAGACATCAGCTCATAATTAACCTACAAAATCATCAGGTATTGATGAGTATCTCACCCTACCCCATTTCCAAGCTGCCACTGCCCTGAAAATCCTTCAGATTTGGGTCAAACTGGGGATTTGGGGCTTTTTAATTTGCTGGTTTAAATGCCCCAACTCTTCTGGCTGAAGATGAGCACTAACACAAAATCCACAGAGGTCAGAAATGGAGCAATTCTTATCACCTCCAAGCCAGGAAAGGAATTGAGGCAACGAGCAAAACCCAAAATACAACCAGGTCAAAAGATCTGATGATGAACACAAAATCCACACAGGTCAGAAATGAGCAATTCTTGTCACCTCCAAGCCAGGAAAGGAATTGAGGCAACAAGAAAAACCCTAAATACAACCAGGTCAAAGGATTTCCCTCAGCTTCTTTAGTTTGAGAGTGGAACCTGGTTTTAAATTCTTTATTCACCAAAAAATTTAAAAAAAAGCAAAGTCAGAAGAACACCAAGAGACAGAATTTTATCCCAAACTTCCAGAGCTGGGATTGCCAGGTTTTCAGCTGCAGCAGCACTCACATCTTTGCATCTGCTTGCTGTACTCAGACATGTTGTCAGGGCGGATGGACCTCAGGAATTTGATGTAATCATCGCTGTGGTACTTGGTCATCTCCTCTGCATTGGCCTTGTGAGGACGCTGCAAGGACAGCACACAGCAAGGGTTGCTCTGGGATCCATCCCCTCCCTCATTCCCAGCCCCACAGTTATCCCAGGAACTGTGGCAAGTATCAAAGCAGCAGTGCTAAGTGAGAAAAAGTGGGTTTAAAGGGCAAGAATGGCACTGCTGGGGAGTGTTACACAGGCAGATGTGGACATAAATGTAATTTCAAGGATGAAAATCAGTTTTTCAGTCTCTGGAAAACCCTCTCTGTTCTCCAGTCTCACTTTCCAGTTTTCAGTCTCCAAAGCCTCTCTGAATCCCCTCACTTCACCACTGAGAAGAAACCAGAAATACACCAACACAACTGAATGGGGTTCATTCCTTTCCTCTCAGAGAAAAGCTCCAATTAAAGACTGAAACATCAATTATGACATGCAATAATGAGCTTACATAGATCTCCATCTTCCTGTAGAGCCCATAGTTGAGCAGGAGGTTGTGGGTCATGCGGATCCTGTGGGGCTTCATGGGATGTCCTTGGCCATAATAATAATTCCCAACATCCCCTGGAAGAGAAAGGAGTTTGTCAGCAATTCCTGCAGAGGGAATCAGCAGGATTCATGGGGCTGGATCCTGGCACAGGGATATCCATGGATTCAGGGCTCTCCCCCAAATTTGAGGCAGGGAATTTGGAATTCCATCAGTGCAAGGAGTCCCTGCCCTTGGAAAGGGGCTGGAATTGGATCATTGCTGCTGGATCATCTCCCACCCCAAACCTTTCATGGCCATGGCACTGCAGAGGACAAATCTCCAAGGTTTGGGGTCAGAGGCGCCCAGGCTGAGTGCCAGGGATGTCTCCAAGGCTCCCCCTCAAATCTGAGGCAGGGACTTTGGAATGCCACCAGTGCAAGGAGTCCCTGCCCTTGGAAAGGGGCTGGAATTGGATCATTGCTGCTGGATCATCTCCCACCCCAAACCTTTCATGGCCATGGCACTGCAGAGGACAAATCTCCAAGGCTATGGGTCAGAGGAGCCCAGGCTGAGTGCCAGGGATGTCTCCAAGGCTCCCACTCAAATCTGAGGCAGGGAATTTGGAATGCCACCAGTGCAAGGAGTCCCTTGGAAAGGGGCTGGAATTGGATCATCTCCCAGCCCATTCCATGGCTGTGGCAGTGCAGAGGACAAGTCTCCAAGGTGTGGGGTGAGAGGAGCCGGGCTGGGTGCCAGGGATGTGCCAGGCTCCAGGCAGGGCTGGGAGCAGGAGCCCTGCAGTTAATCCCAGCTCAGACAGTGACTCAGCCCAGCCCAGCCGGCCTGAGCCTCACTCTGCTCCTGTTTACCCAGGGAAACGGGATCAGGGAACTCTGAACTCTGCAAACACCACCCAGCTCCACACTTCACACCCCTTTTTACTCCTTCAGATCCCCAGAGGAGTCCCAGCCCTTCCCAGCCATCCCCTGGCATTATTTTATGGGACATGGGGAACAGAGTCACCTCCCCACGTGGATTTTCTGCTCCAAACTGAGCTCCCACCTCACTGATAAATGAGGTTTTAATTCCACCTCTTTCCCAGGGGCACTCATTTCCCTGAAATTCACAGGAATTTCCCTTTCAGATTGCAGATTTGGCTGCAGGGAGCAGGAATCTCCCTCTCCCAAGCCTCATTTTCCTGGGAAAGCAGCCCAAGCTGCTCCTGCTCCTTTTGGGGAGCAGCAATCCGGTCTGGCCAGTGACTCAGAGGGCAGAATGAATATTTCATCAGCACTCTCCACCTGCAGCAGAAGCAGTTTTTCCTCCTCTGGACATGGATCTATTTTCAGGCAGGAAAAGGAGATGCCAGAAGTGCAAATCCCACATCCAGGCAAGCCTGCTGCTGGACCTGACCTGTCTGTGGAGCTCTGGGGGAATGTTCTTTCAGTAAATAGAATTTTTTTTTTCAGTGAAATACATTTTTTTTTCCCACTGAAAAAAAAAATCTATTTTCTGAAATTTCAGCAATCCATCCTGCCAGTTTTATGGATGTATTTTACTACCTCTAAATCAAGATTTAGGGGAACTTGCAAGAGATGTTTGAGGCTCTGCCTGGAAAATACAAGCAGAGAACTCAGTGAAGGTTTTAGAAAATGCCCATGAGCTGTGCAGGGGATGCCCTGGGCCAAGCCTGAGCTGCTGCTCCCTGTGCTGGGCACATCCCTGTGGATCCCTGGATGAGCTCAGGGACGTCACAGCAGATTAAGGAGTGTGAACTCAGCAGGGGTTGAACAAATCCCTCTGAGGGGGGAAATTCCACCCAAACCTTCCCCCAGCCCCTCAGGATGGCAGGAAGGACCCCAATTCCTTCATTCCCAGCAGCAGGTTGGGCTGTTTCAGCCTCCCAGGGTGGAAAAGAATGAACAAATTATTTATTTCCTCTCAGTGAAAGCAGCTTTTTACCTCTCAGCTGTGGATGGTCAAAAGCTGCTCAGAAAAGAACAGCGAAAAAGAAAAAAAAATTTAAAAAAGAAAGGCATTAAAACCTCACCACAAAGTATAGAACCCAAATTTGTGAAATTCTTGTGCAGCAAAGACCTGCAGGGCAGCAGCATTTCAAACAAAACAACTGCTTATTTCACATTTCAAATATATTTAAATGCCTTTAAAAATTATAACCCAGCAGGGCTGAAAACCTCCCATTTGAGGGGAAAAAAAATCCCATTTTTAGAGGAGAAAAAAACAGGATAGAATTTAGAAAAGCCTCCTGCACTGGGCACATCCTTAGAGAGGAGAAAAAGCAGCAAGGAGAAGAAGTTTTTATTTGATTTCAAGCTAAAAACCGTGTTGGAACAGAGGTCTGTGACCCAAGGTGAGCACAGAGCCAGTGAGAAAGGAGCAGGGGAAGGGACAGGGGCAGGACTGGGACTCCCCAGCCCCACAGGAGCCACTGCACACTGCAGAGCCAGAGCTGAGGGATGTCCTGGCCAGGAGCTCCCAAATCCCTTCTGTCCCCTCCTGACCCCAAAAGGCACCTCCCAGAATCCTTCTCCAGCACCTCAGCACCCAAAGCCTCTCCTGGCCTCGAGCTCCTGTCACCAACCCGGACTCTTCCCTGCCTTTCCCAACTCCCAAATGCCCAGATCTCCACATTTCCCTACCCCCCAGATCTCCACATTTCCCCATCCCACCTCCTTGATCTTCCAAATCCCCAAATCTCCACATTTCCCATCCCCCTGATCTTCTCCCAAATCCCTAGATCTCCAGATTTCCCCATCCCATTCCATCCCACCTCCCTGATCTTGTCCCAAATCTCCACATTTCCCATCCCCCGATCTTTCCCCAAATCCCCAAATCTCCACATTTCCCCATCCCCCTGATCTTCTCCCAAATCCCTAGATCTCCCCATTTCCCCATCCCATCCCATTCCATCCCACCTCCCTGATCTTGTCCCAAATCTCCACGTCTCCCCACCCCCCTGATCTTTCCCCAAATTCCCACATTTCCCATCCCCCCGATCTCCCCCCCCGGCGTGCCCGGGGGGAGCCCGCAGCCCCTCACCATCGTAGTAGTAGCAGACTTTGCGCTTCGTGCCCTGCGTCAGCGCCATTTTCCTGCCTCCCCTCACAGCGCCCGACCCGCCGCCGCGCCGCGCAACCACCCCTGCCCGCCCCGGGCCCGCGGCCCCGCCTCCCGCGCCGTTCCGCCCAATCGCAGCTCTTCGTTCCGCCCCCTCCCGCCTGCTGACCAATCGCAAGCCGCAGCGGCACCTAGCAAGTTAGACTGAGCGCCGGGGGTGCTTGGGCTGTACCACAGCGGCGGGGGACGGGGGGGGAGGTCCCGAGGGTCCCAGGGGCTCCCCGGGGTGGGTTGGTGCCAGTGGGGTCCATGTGCCCCCATCGGGGTCCGTGCGCCGTGAGCACCACCCCGCGTACCCCACCCCACGGCAACCCGGCCCTGCGAGACCCCCGGCGCTGAAAATGCCTTTATTTCCCCAAAATGATTGTGGGGCGGGTCCTGCAAACGCCCTGAGGGGAGAGGGAGCGCCCACAGGCAAGGGATGGCGTGGCCGGTGCTGCTGAGGGGGCTGCAGGCGTCCCCGGGGCGTGAGGGGGGCGCGGGCGGAGCGGGGTGAGGCGAGCCCTGAGGGGCCGGAGCCGGGCTGTGCCCCCGGCAAGGGCAGGGACAGCAGGCTGGGCACCCTCGGGCACCCTGTGCCACCCTCCAGCGTCCAGCCCCTCCTGAAGGAGTCCAATCTGCTGCTCCCGAGCTCTGGAGCGCTTCAAATCCTCACAGAGCGACGTCCGTGGAGTCTGTGGGGAGCACCCCGAACCCTCAGGGCTGCTGAGGGTGGCGGTGAAGAAACCCTCAAGGACGCTCCTGAGGAAGTCAAAGGTTGGGTTTGTGGGGACCCCCAAAGCCTCAGGACTCCTGAGGAAGTCAAAGATGGGGTTTGTGGGGACCCCCAAAGCCTCAGGGCTGCTGCTGGAACTGGCCCTCGGTGGCGGTGAAAAAACCCTCAAGGAGCTCCTGAGGAAGTCCAAGGTGGGGTTTGTGGGGACCCCCAAACCCTCAGGGCTGCTGCTGGAACTGGCCCTTGGTGGCAGTGAAAAAATCCTCGAGGAGGCTCCTGAGGAAGTCCAAGGTGGGGCGTGTGGGGACCCCCGGCCCCCCGAAGCCTCAGGGCTGCTGCTGGTACTGGCCCTCGGTGGCGGTGAAGAAATCCTCGAGGACGCTCCTGAGGAAGTCGAAGGTGGGGCGCTCCTCGGGGCTCTCCTTCCAGCACTGCCTCATCAGCTCGTAGAGCTCGCCCGGGCACTGCTCGGGCTGCGGCATGCGGTAGCCACGCTCCAGGTTCTGGATCACCTCGGGGTTGGTCATGCCTGGAGGGAGGGCAGCGACAGTGGGCATCAGGGTGGGTCACCCTGGGGGTGGTCACCCCTGCCAGGACCCAGTTTGAGTCACAGAGACCACCCTGGGGTTGGTCATCCCTGCCAGGACCCGATTGGGGTCACCCCATGGTGTGGGTGCCACCCCAGGGCTGGTCACCCCTGCCAGGACAACACCCAGGACCCAGTTTAGGTCACCCACATGCTCCAGGGACCAGCCTGGGGTTGGTCACCCCTGCCAGGACCAAGTTTGGGTCACCCCTGTGTCACTGGAACCACTCCAGGGTTGATCTCACCCCTGCCAGGACAATGCCCAGGACCCAGTTTGGGTCACAGTAACCACCCCAGGGCTGGTCACCCCTGCCAGGACAACACCCAGGACCCAGTTTGGGTCACCCCAGGTTTTAGTGACCACTCCACTTGGTCATTCCTACCAGGACAATGCCCACGACTCAACTGGGGTCACCCCAGTGTCACAGAGACCACCCTGGGCTTGGTCTCTCCTACCAGGACAATCCTTGTGGCACCCAATTTGTTCCACCCCCACCTTGCAGGGACCACCCCAGGCTCGGTCACCCCTGCCAGGACAATGCCCAGGACCCACTCCGGGCCACAGGCACCACTCTGGGCTTGGTCACCCTTGCCAGAACTACACCTAGCCCTCATTTTGGGTGGCAGGGACCCCCCTAAGATTGGTCACCCCTGGCAGGAGAATGCCCAGGACCCACTTCGGGCCACAGGGACCACTCTGGGCTTGGTCACCCTTGCCAGGACAACACCTAGGACTCATTTTGGGTGGCAGGGACCCCCCTAAAATTGGTCACCATTGCCCACCCACCACCCACTTTGGGTCACAGGTACCACCCCACCCTCCCAAACCCCGCATGGGGTGGGATCTGCCCCCCTTTCCACCCCTTTCCAGCCCTCCCCGGGTGTCTGCGGTGCCCGGTGCTGCCGGGCGGGCAGGGAGCCAGGCTGGCAGCGGCGTGCGTGCGGCTCTGCATGCACACACACACACCCACACCCACACACACCCCGCAGCTGCCCCAAAATCCCGACCTGGATACGGGATCCGGCCGTAGGTGACGATCTCGGTGAGCAGGATGCCGAAGGACCACACGTCCGACTTGATGGTGAACGTGCCGTAGTTGATGGCCTCGGGTGCCGTCCACTTAATCGGGAATTTGGCCCCTGGGAGAGGAAGGGAGGGGATGAAGCGGCCGGGCTGAGCTGGAATCGCGCTTTAATCCCGTGTGACAGTCCCCAGCCGGGCTCTGTCGCTGCCTGGCTTTGGTGGCCGAGCCCCCCGAGCCTGCGGCAGCACCCAAAGCCACCCCTCTTCCAGATGGAAAAGGAAAAAAACATCCTTGCCCCCTGTCCTGCCGCTCCCCGGAGAGCCGGGCTGGCTGCGGGTCCCTTCCCGATGTCCCCAAGCCCGGTGACCCCCGGGCTGGGCGGGGCTCACCCTCCCGAGCCGTGTACTCGTTGTCCTCGATGAGCCGGGCCAGCCCAAAATCGGCGATTTTGCAGCACAAAGTGTCCGAGACCAGGATGTTGGCTGCCCTCAGGTCCCTGTGGATGTAATTCTTGGCCTCGATGAAAGCCATGCCTTCAGCGATCTGGGATTCGTAATTAGGAATGAATTGTTGTTAATTAACGGCTCCAGCCCTGCAGAGCTCTCCCGGCTCCATCCCCACCTCTGCTGCCCCCTCACCTGTGCTGCCATGTCCAGGAGTTTGTTGATGCTGAGCTTGACTCCTTCCGAGGTCTTGAGGAAGTCCACGAGGCTGCCTGAGGAGAAAGCAGCAGTTCTCAGCTCCTGGGGGCCCTGGGGGGGTCACAAGGGCACTGTCCCCCCCAAAAAAAGCTCTGGGAATGTGGTCAGGAGAACACAAAAATCATTTTTGCCCAAGCTGGAGGTTGGGAGAGAGCAAAGGCAAAGCCCAGGGCTGGAGGCAAAGGAATCTCTAAAATTAACAAATTTCCACGTTGCCAGACTTTCATTTTGAGTGGTTTTGGAGCCTGCACTGGGAGGTGCTGTAGTCACATCCCTGGAGGAGTCTGAGGAATGACCTGCACAGCACTCTGTCCCTGCCAGGACAACGCCCAGGACCCACTTTGGGTGGCAGGGACCCCTCCTAAGATTGGTCACCCTTGCCAGGACAATGCCCAGGACCCACTTTGGGTGGCAGGGACCCCTCCTAAGATTGGTCACCCTTGCCAGGACAATGCCCAGGACTCAAGCTGGGTCACCCCAGCTTTTAGGGACCACCCCAGGCTCGGCCACCCCTGCCAGGACAATGCCCATGACCCAATTTGGGGCACAGGGACCACCCCAGGCTCGGCCACCCCTGCCAGGACAATGCCCATGACCCAATTTGGGGCACAGGGACCATGCCAGGCTCGGCCACCCTTGCCAGGACAATGCCCATGACCCAGCACTCTGCCTGTTTAGGTGGGGATTTTTCACAGCTTGAACTTCATCCCAAAGATCTTTTCCAGCCTTAAAACCCTGTGGCCACACCCCTGAGGAGGGGGCAGCCCCGGGTCCCTCACCCTTCTCCATGAACTCGGTGATGATGTAGATGGGCTCCTTGGTGACCACGGCGTAGAGCCGCACCAGCCGCGGGTGCTGCAGCTTCTTCATCAGGTTGGCCTCAGCCAGGAAGGCGCTGGGGGACATGCTGCCAGCCTTCAGGCTCTTCACTGCCACCTTCGTGTGCCCATTGTAGAAGCCTTGGGGGAAAAACGGGGAAAAACGGGATCCGGACACCGGGCAGCGGTGGCAGCCAGGGAGGGCGGCTCCACGGAGCATCCCCAGCTGAGGAGGAGGTGGTGGAGGTCCCAAAAGTTGGGTGGGAGGTGTGAAGGTTGGCTGGAGATGGTTTCAGGGCCCAAAACGCCGTTGTGGTGGGGCTGGAGGGGTTTTGGGGCTCAGTGGTGCTGGGGTCAGGCACTGATGGGGTGTTCAGGAGGAGAGCAGGGGGTGGGGAGCTGGGTTTGGGGTGGGAGGGGGGCTGGAGGAGTGCTGGGAGCACTGGGGGGACTTGGTGGGACAGGCAGAAGCTGTGGGAGCGGAACATGAGACCCCCAGAGGGCTGTGGGGCAGGATGGAGGGGAATGGGGAGGGATGGAGGGGAGGGATGGAGGGAAAGGATGGAGGGAAAGGGATGGAGGGAAGTGGGCTGGGACAGAGAGAAAGCATGGAGGGAAGGGATAGAAGGAATCAGGGAGGGATGGAGGGAATCAGGGAGGGATGGAGGGGAGCAGGGCAGCCCCCGTGGCTTCCCCACAGCAGCACTCCAGGAGCAGGAGGTGTTTTGTGGCTGGATCTCCCTCCAAGCCCCCACAGCTGCTCCAGCATTCCAGTGCTCTGAGCAGCTGGAGGTTGGTGCTGGCTGTGGGGCAGGATGGAGGGGAATGGGGAGGGATGGAGGGGAGGGATGGAGGGAAAGGATGGAGGGAAAGGGATGGAGGGAAGTGGGCTGGGACAGAGAGAAAGCATGGAGGGAAGGGATAGAAGGAATCAGGGAGGGATAGAGGGAATCAGGGAGGGATGGAGGGGAGCAGGGCAGCCCCCGTGGCTTCCCCACAGCAGCACTCCAGGAGCAGGAGGTGTTTTGTGGCTGGATCTCCCTCCAAGCCCCCACAGCTGCTCCAGCATTCCAGCCACAAGGGACACTCCCAGGTGGGGACAAAGCCAGCAGCTCTGTGATCCCACACATCCTCCCCGTGTCCACCAGCAGAGCAGGGATGCAGGGGTGGGAGCAAAGGGAAGTTTGGGCTGGGTTCTCCCTTCTTCCAGGACCCTCAAAGGCGCAGTCCCAGCCCGTGGGCTGTGCTGCTGCTCCGTGTGAGATCCCGGCTGGAGGATCCCGCTGCTCGCTCTGGTGCCCCCGTTTCACCCTGACTCACCCATCCAGACCTCTCCGAACTGCCCCGCTCCCAGCTTCTCCACCAGCTTCAGCGACTCCCGCGGCACCTCCCACTCGTCCTGCCACCACGGCTTCTGCGGCTTCTGCGTCCGGCAGGGCTTGCCCAGGCGGCAGCAGAGCCCATCGGAGCTGCCTGGGCCACAGGGAGGCAGAGCTGGGCCAGCGCGGGGCAGCGGCACCCGCCAGGGCTGGGCTGGGCCGCTGGGAGCAGCGGCTCCTGCTCATCCCATCCTGTCCCATCCCATTCTCCCATTACCATTTCATCTTGTCCCATATTGTTCTGCCTCATCCCATCCTGTCCCTATCCCATCCCATTCCATCCCACTCGATTATGTCTTGTCCCAGACCCATCCCAGCCTGCCACATTCCTATCCCATCCTGTCTGGTGCCATCCCATCCAGTCTCATCCCATCCGCTTCTGTCCCATAACATCCTGCCCCATTCCATCCTCTCCAGTCCCATCCCATCCTGTACCATCTCCTTTTATTCTCTCCTATTCCCATCCCATCCCCTGGATCCCATCCCATCCCCTGGATCCCATCCCATCCCATTATCCCATCCCATCCCCATCTCTTCCCGCCCTGTTCCCATCTCATTCCCATCCCGTTCCTGCCCCATTCCCACCCCATTCCCGCCCCGTTCCCGTTCCCATCCCGCACGTGTGTAGTGCTGCACCAGCTCCCTGAGGGTCCCGAAGGGCGCGCGGGGGGAGATGTAGAAGCCGCCATTGTCCAGGTTCCGGATCTTGTAGTGCTTCACCGTCTCTCCCTGGCTCTCGTCCAGGTCCCGCACGGACAGCGAGTACGAGCCTGGGGACAGGGACACCCGTGGGACCCCCGAGCCCTCCTGGGGATCCCCCGGCCCCAGGGACCCGCGGGTGGCACCTTTGGAGGTCTCGCTCTCGCGGATGAGGAAGGAGCCGTGGGTGTTGCCCGAGGCCAGGAGCTGCCGCTCGGCGTCCTTGCGGCTGATGTTCCTGAAGAACCACCTGGGGAATGGGGCGGGCTTAGGGCGGAGGGGACCCGGCCACTTTGTGGGATGCTCCAGGCTCCTTCCCAGAGCTCAGATCCTGCCAGGACACATCCATCCATCCATCCATCCATGGATCCATCCACCCATCCATCATCCAGCTCTCCATGGATCCATCCACCCATCCATCATCCAACTTTCCATGGATCCGTCCATCCATCCATCATTCAGCTCTCTATGGATCCATCCATCCATCCATCATCCAACTCTCCATGGATCCATCCATCCACCCATCCATCCATGGATCCACCCATCTATCATCCAACTCTCCATGGATCCATCCATCCATCCATCCATCATCCAACTCTCCATGGATCCATGGATCCATCCATCATCCATCAATCCATCCATCATCCAACTCTCTATGGATCCATGGATCCATCCATCATCCAATTTTCCATGGATCCATCCATCCATGGATCCATCCATCATCCATCCCTGGATCCATCCCTCCCTCCCTCCCGGCCCATCCCCACTCACGGCTCGGGCTCCAGGCTGTTCACCAAGGCCACGAAGTTGTGTGGGATCAGCCCCTCCTGTCCCGTGGTGAGTGACTGCGCCTTCCACCACTCCCCGTTCCTGCAAGGACAGAGCTCAGTGAGACCCCCGGCCCTGCCCCGGCCCCGGGGGCGCTGGGACTCCTCCGGAATTCCTCACTCTTCCAGCACGCGGAGCTTCTCCCCCTTCCGCAGCCCCAGGTCCCCGTCGTGCTTGGGCTCGTAGTTGTACAGGGCCACCACCAGCTTCTCTGTGGGGACAAGAGGAGGGACAGGGTGGCAGTGACCAGTCTGGGGGTGGCACAGCCCCCAGGCCACAGCCATGCCTCACCTTGCATGGGGGAGCACGGAGGTGACGAGGACTCGTAGGACACCAGGGGGTCTCGGACCTCGGAGCCGTTGCGGATCGGCCTCTGCCGGGGACAGGAACCCCGTGAGCCCCCAGCTCGTGGGATTTGGCCACCTCTGGGGGTGTTTGGCCACCAGGATTGGGGTCTGTCACCCCCTCCTCACCTGGTACTTGCTGTCGGGCTCGATGGGGTAATTGCAGTGCTCACAGATGTCGATGTTCTCGATCCAGTCCTCGTCGTAGTCCGAGCTGCAGCAGCAGCCCATGGTGGCTGTGGGGACAGAGGTGACACAGGGAGCCTTGGCACCGCCATCCCTGCCTCTGCTCATTCTCCAGTGCATTCCCATTCCTGCATCCATCCATGGATCGATCCATCCATCCATCCATCCATCCCACACCACTGTCCCATCCCAGCTCCCCAGCTGAGGGCATTCCCTGACTCTGTCACAAGCCGTAATTTCCCTCCTAATTTATTGTGCCTTCGTTAATTAAAACCACTGAAGGCAATTACTGCCCAGCCTGAGGCTCCTCTGTGCCTCCTGTGCCATTCTGGGGCTGGTCCCTCTGCTCTCCCTGCACATAACAACCTCCTCATTAACATCCCATTAGCAATTAACACACTCCTGCAGCTCGCCTTTAACGAGCTCTGTCTGGGCAAGCACCTCCCCGATCCTAAAATCACCTCCCAGCTGGATGTGGGCACATCCAAACCCCTTTTCCTACAAATCCCCATCCTCTCTGCCCGCTCAGCCCCCTTCCTGCTGCAGCCCCAATCCCTGCAGCACCCTCGAGGCGCAGCCACAGTGACACCGGTGTCCCCACGGTGCCACCAGGGCGTGGGCACCTTCGTCAGGAGCTCTGCATGGGCTCTGCAAATCCAGCGGGCACCTCTGGCCTTCCTGAGGGTTCTGAGTGTGGCACAAACCCCCTGGGCACCTCTGGCCTTCCTGAGAACTTTGAGTGTGGCACAAACCTGGGCATCTCTGGCTTTCCCAAAAATGCTGAGCGTGGCACAAACCTGGACACCTCTGTCTTTCCCAAAAATGCTGAGCGTGGCACAAACCCGGGCACCTCTGGCCCTCCTGAGAGTGCTGAGCGTGGCACAAAGGCGGCAGCGGCGCGTGGGCCCCGGAAAAGGCTCTTTCTGCAGAATCCCCCACGCCCACAGGGCCAGGATTTGTCCCCAACCCCTCGTCCCAGGGGCCCAGGTGTGATTTCCGCAGGGTTTTGTCACCACCAGCCACCCCAGATGTGCCACAGCCCCAGCTGTGCCCCTCTGGCACGGCAGCCACTCCACGTGGTCCCCGTTCAGTGCCCGCTGCCCGGCTGGGAGATGATTTTTTGGGATGGTTTTTTCCTCCTTTTCCTGCCTGGGAGCCTGGGATTGCACCAGCACGGCCAAAAATCTGCATTTTCCCACTTGCCAGGGGGACACAGCAGTGGGGGCTTCGTTTGGGCCTTGCAGGGGTCCCCAGGGAGGGTTTGGGGTCCCCAGGGGGGATTTCGGGTCCTTAAGGAGGGTTTGGGATTCCTAGGGAGGATTTGGGGTTCCTAAGGAGGGTTTGGGGTCCTCAGGGAAGGTTTGGGGTCCCCAAGGAGGGTTTTGGTTCTCAAGCAGGGTTTTTGGTTCCTAAGGAGAATTTGGTGTCCTCAGGGAAGGTTTGGGGTCCCCAAGGGGGGTTTGGGGTCCCCAGGGTTGCCACTCCACCCCCCAACCTGCACTTCCAGCTTTGATTTTCCAGAGCAGGATCCTCCTCCCTCGGTTCCAGAGGTGGCAGGAGCACCAGGGCTGTCCCCAGAGGAGCAGGTGACAGGCGACTTTGGCCAGGGGAACACTCAGGAGTGAGTCCCCGTGCCCTCCAACGCAGCTTTGGGCACCCAGACCCACCCTGCTGCCTGCAGCTCCTGGTGACACCCGCTTGGGGACACGTTTTGGCACCCAGGAAGGGCTTTGGTCACACTGCAGGCATGGTGACGGCGTTCAAACACAAATTTCCTTTTGCTGGCTCTTCCCTTATCACCCCCAGCACCACCAAGACTTCCTACATCTCATCTAGGTACAGCCAGGAGAGTAAAAAATCCAAAATTCACCGACATTTTGAGGGTTTTTCTGCGCAGAACCCACCTCAAGCCCAGCTTTTATGGATGAGAACAACAACAAAGCGCCCACATTTCTTATCCAGAGCGAAGGAACAGCTGAGAAATCCCAAATCTCCTCCCTGACCCCATGGAGGAGCTCCCCAGAGCTCTTCACCCCCCTCCAGCAGTGCCAGGAGCTGTTTTTTCCTCCCGGGGTGAGGAGGGAGGTGCTGCTATTGTGCCTTTTTTTCTTGCAGCCCCAAGCCACAGCGTAATTTCCACTGAGCTGCAGCAGCAGCCGTTTCACCTGCACCAGGGCCAGGAGAAAAAAAATAAAAAAAACAACAAAAAAACCCAAAAAAAGGGTGTTTGAAGTCAGCTTTTTTTTTTGGTGGCTGCATCTGTGCAAACCGAATTTCTTTGTGCCAAAGGGGCCTGGCAGGGACGTGCCCCCCGAGCGTGTTCAGGTGTCTTTGCCAGGTGTGTGCCCCTCTTTTTGGGGTTTTCTCTCTGGATTTGGGCTCTCCGTCCTGTCCCGTGCTGTCCCTTCCTCCCACGTGGCCCTGGGCAGGTCCTGCTGGTTTGTCACACTGACCCTGTGTCTGATGTCACCCTGAGCCAGCTGTGAGCCAGCTGTGAGCCCCCTGGGCGGGCACACAGAGCTGGCACAGCCTGGCAGTGCCACCAGGGACCGTGTCCCCAGGGCAGGAAGGGCCTGGCACCGAGCCGGCAGCAAAAATGGGAATTTCTGAGCTCCTGAAGCTCCAAATTCGGCACCAAAAATGGGAATTTCTGAGCACCTGAAACCCCAAATTCGGCACCAAAAATGGGAATTTCTGAGCTCCTGAAGATCCAAATTGGGCACCAAAAATGGGAATTTATGAGCTCCTGAAACCCCAAATTCGGCACCAAAAATGGGAATTTCTGAGTGCCTGAATCCTCAAACTGGGCACCAACCTTGAGAGACTGGCACCGAGCTGCTGCCTGTCCCTCAGGCACAGCCCTGGGGACAGAATTGCTGTGCCCTGGGGACAAAACTGCTTTGCCCATCCTGCTGTGCCCTGGCAATGGAGGTTTGGGAGGAGCCCTGCGAGGCCACCACCACTGCCACCCCTGGCAGGACCCCCAGGCGGGCAGGGGACATGGGGACAGCGCCTGTCCCCCCCCGGGGAGGCCCCAGAGGGATGGAGAGCCCAGCCTGGCTCCCCCATCCCCCCCAAGAACGCCCCCGAACCCCATTTCCATCCCTGCGAGGGGCGCTCGGAGAGCTCAGCTCGCCCCCTCCCCACCCCGCAGGTGCCACCCGAGCCCCCCTGGGACCCCTCCCCGGCTCTCACCTGCGGGCAGCGCGGCGAGGAGCGGCCGCTCTCACAGGGCCATGTCCCGCCCGTCACACCCTCCTCATCCTCGGCGGCCGGACAGGAGCCCCCCGGGCCGGCTGGGGGCGGAGAGGAGCCCCCCGAGCTTTGTGGGGTGCAGTGATGAGCCCCCCGAGCCTTTTGGGGTGCAGAGAGGAACCCCCCGAGCCGAGTGGGGTGCAGAGAGGAGACCCCCAAGCTGGATGGCGGGCGGAGAGGAACCCCCCGAGCTTTGTGGGATGTGAAGAGGAGCCCCCCAAGCCTTCTGGGGTGCGAAGCGGAGCCCCCCGAGCTGGGTGCGGTGCAGAGAGGAGCCCCCCGAGATTTTTAGGGTGCAGAGCGGAGCCCCCCGAGCTTCTTGGGGTGTAGAGTGAAACCCCTCAAGCCGGGTGGGATGCGGAGAGAAGCCCCCCGACACTTACGGGTGCAGAGCAGAGCCCCCCAAGCCGAGTAGGGTGCAGAGAGGAGCCCCCCAAGCCGTTTGGGGTGCAGAGAGGAGCCCCCCAAGCCTTAGGGGGTGGAAAGCAGAGGCCCCCGAGCTGGGTGCGGTGCAGAGCGGAGCCCCCCCAAGCCTTGTGGGATGCAGAGTGGAAACCCCTGAGCCTTTTGGGGTGCGGAGCGGAGCCCCCCGAACCTTTTGGGGCGCGGAGCGGAGCCCCCCGGGCCGGGTGGGATGCGGAGAGGAGCCCCCCGAACCTTTCGGGGCGCGGAGCGGAGCCCCCCGGGCCGGCTGCGCCGCCGCCGCCGCTGTCCCCGCCTCGCCCCGGTTTCCTGCCTCATGAGCAAACTCAAGAGGAGCCCGTTCTCAGCTCGCCCCCGACCGCAAGAGCGAGTGACAAACCCCGATGGCTTCCTGCCACCTCGGGTCCCCTGGCGAGGGCATGCCGAGAGCCCCGGGGCTGGCACCTGCTGCCAGCACCCTCCGTGCCCTGCGCTGTCCCCTCCGTGCCCTGCGCTGTCCCCTCCGTGCCCTGCGCCAGCCTGGCACTCCCTGCTCCACCCCGGAGTCCCCTGCTGGCACTGCCACCCTCCTCCCTGCGCCCCAGGGTCCCCCGTGTGCCGCGGGACACGGCTCGGAGCCCCCCTCGGGCTGTCCCCGCCGTGTCACCGCGGTGCCACCGCAGCCTGGGCAGCCCGGGAGCCGCGGGCACAGGGCCGGAGCGAGGGGACCCGCGGTGGCCCGGGGGGCTGGCAGCGCTGCTCGGGAGGCGGCTGAGAACCACAGCGGCATTGTGTTGGCTGCTTTGATCGAGAGAGAAGCCGCAGGCACAGGCCGGAAGCCCGGAGGTGGCAGCGGGGGATGTGGCAGCTTGGGGGGCACATTCGGGCTCTCCTCGTGTCCTGGCAAGGAGAAACTGCCCCCAAAATGATCCCCACAGCTTCCCTGGCACTCGGGGCTCTGTGGAAGGCGCATCCCCACGTGGCACCTGGAGCCGGGGCCACCTCTGGAGGCACAGACAGGGAGAAGCCACCAGCTGTCACCCTCCGCTCCTTTTATTGCGCCTCAAAGGGCCGCTCCCCACTGTCCCCGCCGGGCTGAGCCCACCACCCTCAGCGCCAGGCCCCAGAACGCCCTGGGGGGATGGTGACACTCCTGTGCCCTGGGGATGGTGACACTCCCGTGAGATGGTGACAATCCCGTGCCCATGGGGGAGATGGTGGCATTCCTGTGTCCCACAGCCTGGGGATGGTGACAATCCTGTGAGGTGGTGACATTCCAGTGCCCGTGGGGATGGTGACACTCCTGTGCCCTGAGGATGGTGACACCCATGGGGATGGTGACATTCCTGTGAGATGGTGACATTCCCGTGCCCTCAGGATGGTGCCACCCATGCGGACGGCGACACTCCGCGCCACCTCAGCGCGGCATCACCCTGTGGGCAGCACGACCTGCCCCGAGCCCCGGGAGTCCCCAAAGAGCCGCGCTGTCCCCGGGGGTCCCCAAAGAGCCGCGCTGTCCCCGGGCTGTCCCCGCAGGCGGGCGGGCTCAGCACAGCGAGAAGCGGCGCGAGTTGATGTTCATGCGGGTGACGCCGATGTGCTTGAGCGGCGTGGAGAGCAGGAAGGCGGCCTTGGGGGGGATGGTGCACAGCAGATCCGAGTCTTCCTCGCAGCCCTCGAGGCCGAAGGTGGCGTCGTCCAGCATCTCCTTGTGCTGGTGGCACGCCTGCTCCACCTTGAGCCGGTGCAGCCGCGCCCGCAGCCGCATCAGCTGCTGCGCCAGCCGCTGGTCCAGGGCCTGCATCTCCCGCTGCGGGGACAGGGAATGCCGTGGAGGGGGATGGCACGGCTGCCCGGGCAGCGGGGATGGCGCTGGGCCGGGCACAAACCCCGCCATGGGCCCGCGGTGCCACGCCGTGCCCCCCGTGCCACCCGCACGGCTCAGGCCGTGCCCCCCGTGCCACCCCCAGCGCAGCGGGAGGGGGTGACAAGCGACCCCGGCGGAGCTGTGGCACCGCAGAGCCACGAAAAACCTCGGGAAAACGCGTGTGGAGCCAGCAAGGCGGGCAGAGGACACGCTGCCACCCCGCCGTGCCCGGTGCGGTCGGGCACGGTGTCCCCAGTCCCGCTCCGTGTCCCCGTCCTGAACTCACCAGCTCCGTCCTGAGCCACTCCAGAGCCGCCTCCACGGTGGCAAAGCCACAAACGCCCCCGTCCTGCTGCTGCGGGGGGCGCCCGGGGCTCCGCGGTGCCCCCCAGCGCTGCCCCCTGACCCGCGCTTCCCACTCCAGGTACGAGGGTCTGCGCGTCTGCAGCTTCAGCTTGGCCGCTAGCGCCTTCACGCTCTCCAGGTTCTCCTGCTCCCAGCTGGGCTCCTCCTCGCCCAATTCCTTGAATTTCAGCTGGCTGAAAGCCATGTGGGGCAGAGCAGAGCGGCCCCAAAGCCCCGCTGGTGGCTGTGCCCTGAACGCCTCCCCACGGGGGAATGAAGCCCCCACCCTGCCCGCGACCACCCACCCACCCCTGCCCGGCTGCGCCCGCTCCCGGCTCTTTATCCACCCCGAGGCCGATGGGCAGGAATTTCCTTATCCAGAGGAGTATTTTTGGCTTGTTGCGTTGTTTTTTTTTTTTTTTTTTTTTTTTTTTGGTTTTTTTTTTCCCCTTTTATTTTCTTTTTTAACATCATTGTCTCCGCCTGGGAGGAGACTCCCCGTTCCCGGACGGAGCCTTCACCGGGCACGGAGGAGCTGCGATGATTTATCCCCGGGCTCAGCCGCCCCTCCCCGCTTCTGGGGGGGCCCAAAAAAGCTCGAGGAAGGAAAAAGAAACGGGGGGGTGCCCGGGGGGGGCAGCCGGGGTCCCGCACCCGGACGGGACCTTAAGGTGGAGCCGCGTCCGGATCTGTCCCTGTGCCACCTTCCCGCTGCCCGCGGGGCTCCAGGGCCAGCCGAGGTGCCTCAGGGGTCTCACCTGCGACCCCCGGGTCTCACCTGCCCGCCCCCGTCCACTGCAGCCCCCCCAGGGCAGCCCCCAAATCCTCCGCGTGCTCCCCCCGCGCTGCTCTCCATTCGCGCTGTCTCCTCGCGTGTCCCTTGCCGCGGTACCCCCGTGTCCCCTCGCTGTCGCAGCGCACGGAGCGACCCCCCCCAGCCCCCCCAGCACCCCCGGGTCCCCTCCTTGCACTCCCGGTGTCCCCAATCCCCTCCTTGCACCCCGAGCCTCTTCCTTGTCCCCCAAGGTCCCCTGCCTGCACCCCAAAATTCCCTTTTGCACCCCCAAAAAACCTCTCCTTACGGCCAGCAGGTCCCTCTTGGCACTCTGAGGTCCCCTGCTTGCACTGTGCTTGTCCCCTCACGTCCCTGCCTGTCCCCCCGAGGTCCCTGCCTGTCCCCCCAGGTCCCTGCCTGTCCCCCCAGGTCCCCATCTGCCACCCAGCCCGAGCAGGTAAGCAGAAGGGGTGGCCGGGGCAGGAGCACCGCCACCCCCACGACCCCCCACCCTCCTCCTCCTCTTCCTCTCGTGCCCCAGCCCCGGGTGTGGCTTTGGGGACAGCCGAGCCCGTGGGGACGCTGCCAGCCGGGGCCGGTAACGGGGTGCAGCCCAGCGGGGCAGGGAAGGACCGCCAGCTGCTCCCCGCCATCCCATTCCCCCCCAAAAATCCCCTGGGGCACAGCGGAGACCGCAGCCAGCTGAGCCCCCCGTGCCTCAGTTTCCCCGCTGCCCGGAGCCATGTGGCGCTGCCGCGTGCGGGAGGTGACAATGTCAACACGGCGAGGGGACAGCGCCGCGTGACGCGCAGGGAAGGGTGTTCCAGGCGGGCCGAGAGCCGCAGGATTTCCCCTTTTTTTTTTTTTTCCTTTTTTTTTTTTTTTTTTTTTTTTTTTTTTTTTTCCCCCCTCCTCCCTCCCCGGCCGGGCCGAGGCGGCGCCCATGGAGTTCTCGGAGCTGATCAAGACGGCGACAGTGGAGGACGTGCTGCTGTCGCGGCCGGGGGTGGCGGCGGTGCGGGGCACGCTGTGCATCACCAGCCACCACCTGCTGCTCTCCTCCTGCCCCCGCGGCGACCTGGAGCTCTGGCTGCTCATCCGCAACGTGGACGCCGTGGAGAAAAGGTGGGCTCGTCCCCAAAGCTGTCGCTGTCGCCGTGCCCGAGCTGGGGGATCCCCCCCTGTCCCGGGTACCCCACGGGCACCGCGCTGCCCCGCCCGGCCGTGTCCTTCCTCTTCCTCTCCCTGCTGGCGGGGCAGGGCGGGCATGGACTCCTCTCCCCCTCAGAGTGCACAATTTAGGCTGGTGCCACCCCCGCGGAGTGGCGGCTCCCTGCGGGACACCAGGTGTGGCATTTCTGCCTCTGTGCCACCCGCGCAGCCCGGCTGCGGTGCCGGATGCGAGCCTGAAATTCTGCCCAGCCCCCGGGGGGACGGGGCGGCTCGGTGCTGTCCCCGGTGTCCTCAGGCAGCCCTGCCCAGCCCCCGGGGGGACGGGGCGGCTCGGTGCTGTCCCCGGTGTCCTCAGGCAGCCCTGACCCCTCCCGCAGGGTCTCGGGCTCCTCGGGCACCGTCACGCTGCGCTGCAAGGACCTGCGGGTGCTGCAGCTGGAGATCCCGGGCATGGAGCAGTGCCTGGACGTCGCCGGCTCCATCGAGGTGAGCCCGGCCGGCCGCCCAAGGGCTGGCCGGGGGAAAAGCGCGGCCGTGTTTGCTCTGGGTCGGGCATCAGCTGGGTAAACACGCGGCTCCGGCAGCGCTGGCACACGGCGCTGGCACACGGCGACAGTGCCAGCTCCGGTGTCCCTGAGCAGGCGTGTGGTTGATGGTTTGTGTGAAAAGGATCCCGGGATGAGTGGAGAGATGAGAATCTTGACTCCTGAAACATTCAGAATCGTCGGAATATAATAAATATCATATATATAATAAATATATCATAATATAATAAACTAGAAGGCTGGTTTATTATATTATGATATTTAATATATACCATAATACATATTATTATATATAATATATATAATAATACATGTCAGAATAATATATTATATATTATATCTCATATATAATCATACTATATTATGATATATAATATATCATAATGTATATTATGATATATAATATATATCATAAGACATATCATAACAATATATGATCTATATTATGTATCATATATATTGTTATATATTATATTATTATATATATTATATTAAAATGATACATTAAAACTATACTGATAGAATAGAGAGAAAAGGATTCATTAGAAGGCTAGAAAGAACAAGAATGGAATGGAATAACAAAGGCTTGTGACTCTCAGAGTCCGAGCCAGCTGATTCTGAGGGGTTTTTTACCATTAATTAGTAACAATTAACATGCCCCAACGCACCTGTTGCATCCCACAGCAGCACATCGTTATTGTTTACCTTTCTTCCCTGAGCCTCCTCAGGAGAAAAACTCCTAGCAGAGGCCTTTTCCCAAGCCACGAATCTCTGGCCGCACAGGCGCTGTGCTCGCTGGACTCGGTGATGCTGACGTACCCGTTCTTCCACCGCCCGCCGGGCCTGCGGCTGCAGCACGGCTGGCACCGCGCTGTCCCCGAGCGCCACTTGCAGCGGGTGGCCTCGCAGGTGAGCCCGGCCGGGAGGGACCCCCACCCCGGGAGGGACCCCCGGGCCCTAAAATGATACATTAAAACTATACTGATAGAATAGAGAGAAAAGGATTCATGAGAAGGCTAGAAAGAACAAGAATGGAATGGAATAACAAAGGCTTGTGACTCTCAGAGTCCGAGCCAGCTGATTCTGAGGGGTTTTTTACCATTAATTAGTAACAATTAACATGCCCCAACGCACGTGTTGCATCCCACAACAGCACATCATTATTGTTGACATTTCTTCCCTGAGCCTCCTCAGGAGAAAAACTCCTAGCAGAGGCCTTTTCCCAAGCCACGAATCTCTGGCCGCACAGGCGCTGTGCTCGCTGGACTCGGTGATGCTGACGTACCCGTTCTTCCACCGCCCGCCGGGCCTGCGGCTGCAGCACGGCTGGCACCGCGCTGTCCCCGAGCGCCACTTGCAGCGGGTGGCCTCGCAGGTGAGCCCGGCCGGGAGGGACCCCCACCCCGGGAGGGACCCCAGCCCTCCCCGCTGATGTGGGCTCTCCCCCAGACCAGCCAGTGGCGGCTGAGCTCCGTGAACGGCGACTTCGGCGCGTGCCCCTCGTACCCGCGGGCCGTGCTGGTGCCCGCGGCGCTGGGCGACGAGGCCGTGGCCAAGGCGGCGCGGTTCCGCCAGGGTGGCCGCTTCCCCGTGCTCTGCTACTTCCACCCCAAAAACGGCACCGTGAGTCCCTCTGCCCCCCAGCCAGCCCCTCCTGCCTCTCAGAACGGGGGGTTCCAGCTGCACAGGGTTCCAGAATTTGGGTTGGAAGGGATGTGAAAGCTCAGCCAGTGCCACCTCTGTCAGGGCAGGGACACCTCTGCTGTCCCTGTTCCAAGCCCTGTCCTTCCCTGGATCCAGGGGCAGCCACAGCTGCTCTGGGAAAGCCATCCCAGCCCCTCCCAGGGAACAACTCCTAATTCCCAATATCCCACCCATCCCTGCCCTCTGCCAGTGAGAGCCATTCCCTGTGTCCTGTCCCTCCATCCTTTGTCCCAAATCCCTCTCCAGCTCCCCTGGACCTCTTCAGGCTCTCTAAGGTCACACTGGCTCTCTCTCCCCCTAGTGCCTATTCCCAGCTGTCCCCCGCTCTCCCCCAGCCCCTTTAGGCTCTCTAAGGTCACCTTGGAGCTCCTTTAGGCTCTCTAATGTCACTGTGGAGCCCCCTCAGGCTCTCTAAGGTCACTCTGGATCCCTTTAGGCTCTCTAAGGCCACCCTGGCTCTCTCTCCCCCCGTGCCCATTCCCAGCTGTCCCCTGCTGTCCCCCAGCCCCTTTAGGCTCTCTAAGGCCACCCCAGCTCTCTCTCCCCCCGTGCCCATTCCCAGCTGTCCCCTGCTCTCCCCCAGCTCCTTTAGGCTCTCTAAGGTCACCCTGGAGCCCTTCAGGCCCTCTAAGGGCACCCCAGCTCTCTCTCCCCCCGTGCCCATTCCCAGCTGTCCCCCAGCTCCTTTAGGCTCTCTAATGTCACCCTGAGCCCCTTTAGGCTCTCTAAGGCCACTCTGGATCCCTTTAGGCCCTCTAAGGTCACCCTGGCTCTCTCTCCCCACGGTGCCCATTCCCAGCTGTCCCCTGCTGTCCCCCAGCTCCTTTAGGCTCTCTAAGGTCACCCTGTAGCCCTTCAGGCTCTCTAATGTCATCCTGGAGCTCCTTTAGGCTCTCTAATGCCACCCTGAGCCCCTTTAGGCTCTCTAAGGCCACTCTGGAGCCCTTCAGGCCCTCTAAGGCCACCCCGGCTCTCTCTCCCCCCGTGCCCATTCCCAGCTGTCCCCCGCTGTCCCCAGGCCCTGCTCCGCAGCAGCCAGCCCCTGACGGGTCCCAACCGGCGGCGCTGCCGCGAGGACGAGCAGCTCCTGGGGACAGTCCTGGGCGAGGGCGAGCGCGGCTTCGTCATCGACACGCGCTCGGCGCAGGCGGCCAAGCAGGCGCGGATGAGCGGCGGCGGCACCGAGCCCAAATCCTCCTACCCGCGGTGGCGGCGGCTGCACCGCGCCCTGGAGAGGTGAGGGCAGGTGCTGTCCCCCCGTGTGACAGTGCCACCGAGCCCCACGCTGGCTCTGGCTCTCGGGGTGCCTCCCAGTGCCCCCCCAGGGGACACTCTCTGGTGGCCCGAGGGTGCTGGTGGCACTGGGGCAGTGGCCTTGGCAGCAGAGGGGACACTGGAGACGTGGCAGGGGATAAAAGGTGACTCTCGGCAGGGGACAGCCCAAGGTTTGTTCGGAGCTCCTCAGGAGCCCCACACCTCAGCGTGTAAAACAAAAGGAATGTCAGGGTTGCATTTAAAGGGTGGGAGGAAACCCAATGTGGATGCATTTGCTGAGCAATAAGGACCCTCCAGGGATGAAACCCTATGGATGGACATTTGGGATAGTGTATAAAATAATACTTGTGGGGCTGACCCCTGGCCTCGGACTAATCACTCAATGACTTGGGCCAAAAGTTCTAGATAGAGGGGACGGGATGCTGAGTGACTGACAGAGAGCCAGGGCGGGGATTTGGGGATGATCTCACCCGGGAGAGGGATCACACAGGTAGAGGGTACAAAAAGGGGTACACCATTTGGGGAAAATAAGGGCACACAAAACCAAAAGTATTACAAAGTACTACAAAGTACAAAAGCACACTAACAGCCCACGGCTCCGTGCCCTGTGGCAGGGGCCGCCCGCTGCAGGAGAGCTTTGCCAGGCTGGTGGAGGCGTGCAGTGACCCTGCCCTGAGCATGGAGCGCTGGCTGGGCCGCCTGGAGGGCAGCCGCTGGCTCAGCCACGTCAAGGCCGCCCTGAGCACGGCCTGCCTGGCTGCCCAGTGCCTGGACAGGTAAGGGGGGCTGCACCTTGCCCGTCTCACCCCTTTCCGTGCCCGCAATGTGCCCAAAACGCTGGGCTCGCCCCGGCAGGGAGGGCTGCAAGGTGCTGGTGCACGGCGCCGAGGGCACGGACACCACGCTGCTGGTGACGGCGCTGGCCCAGCTCATCCTGGACCCCGCCTGCCGCACCCTGGAGGGATTCCAGGAGCTGCTGGAGCGGGAGTGGATCCAGGTGAGAGCTGTTTTGGCAGGGTGGGGGGCCCAGCCCGGCCGGGTGCCTCACCCCAGGTCTCCATGGGGGTCCCGCAGGCCGGGCACCCCTTCCAGCTGCGCTGCGCCCGCTCCGCCTGCTCCCACGCCCGGGGCAAGCAGGAGGCGCCGGTTTTCCTCCTCTTCCTCGACTGCGTGTGGCAGCTGAGCCGGCAGTTCCCCTTCTCGCTGGAATTCGGGGAGCAGCTGCTGCTCACCCTCTTCGACAACGCCTACGCCTCGGCCTACGGCACCTTCCTGTGCAACAACGAGAAGGAGAGGTCGGTGAAGGCCAAAGCCCGCCTGTCACGGCTCAGGTGACGCTGCTGGGGACTGGAATGTGTCCCTCCTGTCCCCACAGGAGCCTGTGTAAGGTGAGGGAAAGCACCCACTCGCTGTGGGCCTGGCTGAACCAGCCTGAGGAGAAGCACAAGTACCTGAACCCTCTGTACTCGCACAACCCCTTGGTGATCTGGCCCTCCGTGGAGCCCCAGAGCATCCAGCTGTGGCAGGGTGAGTGGGATCCTCCCAAAATCCACCCCCAGCTCCCAGCTGGGCTGCCTCAGGGGCAGCTGCTGTGCCTTTCCCTGCGGGACAGGGCTGAGCTCACCCCCAGCCCCTTCTCTGCCAGGTTTCTTCCTTCGCTGGATCCGTCCCTCCCAGCACCTGGATGAGGCCTGGGTGGAGATCCAGAGGTTGGTGCAGGGAAAGAACTCCTCCCTCCAGGAGAGCACAGGGAAAAGGCTGAGCCAGCCCCTCCCTGAGCCCTCTGCTGGGACAGAGAACGGTGAAACGGGGACAGCTGGGACAAGGTGACACTGGAAATCGCCATGGGAAGGGCTGTGCAGGACACAGACCCCGTGGGCAGCTCTGGGACAGGGGACAGACCCTCCCCAGCCTTCAGCTGCCCACCCTGAGCTCGTTTCAGTAAATCTCTCTCCCAGCCCTTGCCTGTGTCCTGCTCTTCCATAAGGAAGCTGCTCCTTCCCACTGGGATTGCAGCAGTGCCCCTGGATGGCTCTGGAGCTGAAGGGCAGCAGATCACACAAAAACACCCCAGCAGATCACACAAAGAAAGCCAGATCACACCAAAAACACCCCAGCAGATCACACAAAAACACCCCAGCAGATCACAGAAAGAAAGCCAGATCACACCAAAAAAACCCAGCAGATCACAGAAAAAAAACAACAGATCACACCAAAAAAACACCCAGCAATAACACAGAAAAACCCCAGTAGATCACACAAAAACACCCCAGCAGATCACACAGAAAAACCCAACAATCACCCAGAAAAACCCCAGCAGGACACACAAAACCAGCACCCCAAAATCACACAGGCTGCAGCCTCTGTCGTGCCAGCGGCTCCGAGCCTGGAGCCAGCCTGGGAATTCTGCCCTTGAGCCCAGTTTTGAGGAAGGAAAGAGACCAAACTCCTCCTCAAAAGCCAAGTGAAGAACCTGGGAAGAGGAAAACTGAAATTGTCACAAGGCCAGGAGGGACAAAACCACAGATTCCTAAAAAAAAAAAAAAGCTCAAGGGCTTCTCCAGCACTGCTAGCTTCCCAAAGGAAAGGGAAGAGCAATCCTTGGGGTGTCAGGAGTGCTCTGGGTGAAGATTCAGCCCTGCCAGAGGGAAAAGGACCAACCTGGCCTCGAATTTGCCACCTGGTGGAGCTGGTGGTCACATCCATGGCCTCCTGCCCTCCTCCCAGCACCACCTGCAGGGGAGGGAAATCTCCCACCTTCCAGAACTGCAAACATTCTATGCAAATACCCAAGTATTTCATTTTCAGTGCTTGGCTGTTCGTTTAGCACCTCCCCTTTCTCACTGAAAATTCCCAAGGAGCAAAACTCCCTCTGAGCAGAGATCCTGCCAGGAAATCTGCAGGAAAAGCTCACCTTGGCTGTGTTATCTGCCGGGGTCAGGATTTTCACCTGCTGGACCCTGGCTAGATGTTTCTCTTCACCAGACAGAAGGAGGGCCGCTCGAGTCCTGGATCATCTCAGCTGATTCATTGCAGGGTCCAAAAGGGGTAGGAAAACACAGAGGGTAGGCTGAGGGACAGACGGTGAGTCAGAGGGACAGCAGGGACAGGTAACAACCAGCAGAAGGACACCAGGGGGAGTGCCCTGTCTTTGGGGAAGGTAAAGATTTTGTGCACAGCTACATGGAGAGGGAAAGTTTTCACAGCAGTAACTAATGGAAGATACAAAGGGTATGAGCGGGATGTGAAAGGGGGTACAGCATTCGAACCTTGGGAAAGGAATGAATTTTCCCTGACTTAGAGAATGGTGCATTCTCTAAGTCAGGGCATTCCTGAGACAGCTTTCTCACCCCTGACAACCGCACCAGGCCACTGGGCCCTGGACACGAACGCTGCCCCTTTTCCCTGGCAAACAGAACTCACCAGCCCAGGTTTCTGATGTCAGTTTGCAGGAGGCACTTGGCACTATCACACCAGCCACCGTTGCTGATGGTGGCAGAGAGGAACAGTGTGCAGGGCTGCAGCAGTGGGGGCAGGCAGAATTCCAGGCAGCAGCCTGAGCTGCCCCTTCCCCCTCAGCAGCACCACAAGAGAACCCAAACTGTGCTTATCCCGTGCCAGACTCTCACCTACAATTGTAAATCCAGTGAAAACTATACAGATGACTGCAACGGTGGCTACACTTGACCCTAAGAAGGAAAATGACAGGTGAGCAGGAGTTGGGCACTAAAGCTCCTCCCGGCTGGAGCCCCGTGCCCTGTGCTGGCAGGACAGGGGCTGCTGGCAGCAGCAGCTCTCCCAGCACCGCCCTCCTTCAGCCCTGCAGACACCCGGGAGGAGAGGGGAGAACCCCAGGGTCCCTGTGCCCCTCTCCAGTCTGTCCCACTGCAGGTCCCATGTCCCAGACCCCAGGAGCCACCCAACTTACCCATGGTGGGCTGGACGGGAGCGAGAGCTGTGATGAGTCTGCTCTAACCCTGGTGCCTTGGGAAGCAAGAACAAGAAATCTTTCCATGGGCAGCAGGTGGGGTCAGCGGGGCTTTGCTGCCCTGCACAATCACCCCCAGGTACCCTCTCCCACCCAGGAGCCCTCGGCCATCCCACAAGAGCAGAGCCCCCTCAGTCCCTGCCCAGGCTCCTGCCCGACCCAGGGCTACCTGGGCTGCTCTGCCAGTGCACGGGCTCAGACCCGCAGGGATACTGAGTTATTTATTGAGAGATAGGAGCTGGTTTTATAGCCTTCCTCAGAACCCATTATTTCCTTGTACTTTTTTTTTTTTTTCACTAAGTGACCTTTCACACATTGCCACATCAGCAACATTCTTAAAGCTTTCTTAGGGTCCTTCTATGGGGTGATCTCATCATGTTCAAGTGTCTGGCAGATTCCAGCAGGATCCTCTCCTTTGGGCATCCACCAAGGGGCATTTCTAAACACATCCAGGGATGGTGACTGAACCACCTCCACGGGCAGACAATTCCAGTGCCCAATCAGTCTTTCAGTGAAGAATTTTTTTCCTGATGTCTCACCCAAATTTCCCCTGCACTTTACCTGGATTATCCCCATCATTGGGACCACCATCAGGACCATTGTCAGGACCACCATCAGGACCATTGCCAGGACCATTGTCAGGACCATTGTCAGGACCACCCCCAGGACAATCCCCATCTTTGGGCTTGTCACTGTGATTTGTCTTATCCCAGGATTTCTCATCTGAATTTATCTTCTTCTTGGACTCATCACTAGGAGTCGTCTCCTCCCCAGATTCCTCATCTGAAATTGTCTCCTCCTTGGGTTCCTCCTCTGGAGTTGGCTTCCTCTTGGACATCTTGGCAGAGTCTCCTGCACCAAGTGACAGCAGGACAGATGTCAGCCCAATTTTGGCACCAAGAGAGAAACCTGCAGCTCGAGGCTGCTGCTGCCTCTCTCACAGCAGCACCCTGAGTCTCTCGGGCCCCAGCACTCGCAGCCCCCAGCCTGGCAGTGAACCCCAGAGCCAGAATTTACCTGCTGGGGCAGCTGCTCCAGTGGCAGCTCCTTTGCCTCTGTGTCTCACAGCTGAGAGGGAAACAAGCAGAAAGGCAGGAGGGAAAAGAGGAAAAGGAATCAAAGAGGAAGAGGAGAGGGAGGTGGAAGAGGGAAGGAAGCAGCACTGCCCGCGCTGCCCACCTGCCACCAGCACTGCCCACCTGCCCACGGTGCCCGCGGGACTGGAATGGCCCCACGGTGCCCGGTGGGCTGGAATGGTTCTGCAGTGCCCGGTGGGCTGGAATGGCTCCGCGGTGCCCGGTGGAGTGGAATGGTCCCGAGGTGGAGTGGAATGGTCCCGCGGTGGAGTGGAATGGCTCCGCGGTGCCCGGTGGTCTGCAGTGGTCCCGATGCTCGCCCCGGGGCCGCCCCGTGCCAGGCACGCCCGGGCTGGAGGCGGAGGGCTGAGCGCGACTCTTCCTCCGGGCGGTCAGACACAGCAAGGGGGGCACGGCACAGAGCTGGGGGTCCCAGCCGCGGTACCGGGGGGGCTCCAGAGCGTGGGGTCAGGCACACAATTGTCCTGTTGTGTACCGAAGAGTCACGGCACGGCAGCCAAACCAGAGCCCTGGGGGGCTGTCGAAGCTTAACCCAGCCAGCCCCAAGCACCTCGCAGCTGCCTGCTCATCACCCCCAGCCCTCCACCCCCATCGGGACCGGGGACAGAATGGAAGGGTAAGAACTAGAAAACTTGTGGGTTGAAAGAAACAGTTTAATAGGGAAAGCAAAAGCCGTGCACGCAAGCAAAGCAAACCCGGGAATTCCGTCCCTGCTTCCCGTGGGCAGGGAGGGGTTCAGCTCCTCCAGGAGAGCGGGACTCCTGCAGACGGGACAGACGCGAGAAGAGAAACGCCATCATTCCCAATGTCCCCTCCTTTGTCCATTCCTGCTGTGTCACACGGTCTGGGATATCCCATTGGCTCTGTTGGGGTCACCTGTCCCTCCCACGTCTCCTCCCAACCTCCCACGCACTCCCAAATCCCTCCCCAGCATGGCTGTGTGAGTGCTTGCAAATGCCTCGGCTCCGGGCAAGCTCAACACTAACAAAACCTCTGTATCATCAACCTCGTGTTTGGCACTAAACCAAAACACAGCCGCAGAGCAGCCCCTGGGAGGAAAATGACCCCTACCCCAGCCCAAAGCAGCACAATGACCAAGAGCTCTGAGGAGTCCTGAGGAAGAGGAGGAGAAATCAGCTCAGGGCTCCCCAGCTGGCCCTGCCCAAGCACAGGGTCCCCACCATTCCCCCAGCAAGGGGGAGCACCCCACGGAGGAGCAGATCCCCCAGATGTCACCTCCCTGCTGCCATCAGGTGTCCCCACGCCCAGGGCAGTGCAGGCAGCAGGGCCACATGGGCACCCCTGGAGCTGGACCCTGCTCCCATGGCCACCCCAGGCCCCGGAGATGGCCACTGCCCTGGGAGGCCAAAGCTCAGGGTGCTGGGGAAATACTGTGCTGCCTTGTTTACCAACACTGCTGCAGAATCTGTGTATTTGAGGTAAATAATAGAGAGAATGCAGAAACTGAAACTCAGCTGAGTGTGGGGAGAGCCCAGAGGTCACACATGGGGCACAGTGCAGATCACAGAGCACTTGTCAACCCAGTCTGTCTCTGTCACTGGCACAAGGTGATTCAAACATGGTTTATAACAAAGCCCTCAATGCCTGGATGGGAGCCAGTGGCCACGGTGAAGCCAGAGGTTGTGCAGGGGCTGTGGGAGCACCTCCTGCCCACCCCAGTCCCATCCCCAGTCTGTGCCCGGTGCAGCCCAGGCAGAGGCACTGCCCAGGTGGCCCCTGTGCCTGCAGCCACCCCACTGCTCCTCGTGCCTGGAGGCCTGGCCAGCCTCGGACCCAGAGCCCCTCAGTGGCTGGAGGCTGCTCAGGCTGGTGTTTTGGGGGGTGGCTGCCCTTTGTGGGTGATGGGATGCTCCAGGATGCAGCCGAGGATCAGTGGTTTGGGCTGTGGGGGCACCCCACCAAGGGTCTCCCCAGTCTGTGCCAGAGAGCTGGTCTGCAGTGAGCTCTGCTCCCTGAGCACACCCAACCCCTTCTGCTCTCCCTTTCCTCCTCTGACACTGCTGGGAGTGGACACAGGCGTTCTGGCCACAGAGCAGTTCCTGCCTGCACAGCCCTCAGCCCTGACTCCTACCCCAGCAGGTCCTGGCTCTTCCCACCACATTGGGGATTCATCCCTTTGCTAGATTTCAGTTGGGTTCAGATCACTGAAGGGTTCAAGGGCTGATTTGGCTCTACAGGAAGCCCAGGGTACAACTCTGTGTTCCCTCCCAGCACAGCCCAACTCCCCGCCCTCCCCACTCACCAATTCGGAGACTGAATCCAAAATACTTGAAATTCATGGAGAAGTTGATGGTCTCACCTCTTGCCAGTGCTGCAGGGAGGACAGAACAGCGTTAGGGTCCTTGCTGTCACCCACATGTCCCCCTGCCACCAGCACCAGAACCAGCCTCCCCAAAAGCACCCAGGCACCAGGGCGGGGAGTGAGGGCTGGGGGTGCAGGGACAGGGACACCCATGGGTGGCAGGAGAGGAACAGTGTGCAGGGCTGCAGCAGCGGGGGCAGGCAGAATTCCAGGCAACAGCCACAATTCTTCCCTTCCCTCTCAGCAGCACAACCAGCAAAGCTGAGCACTGCTCATCCGATGCCAGACTCTCACCTACAAGTGCAGGTCTAATCATGATTCCAATGAGGAGTGCAGCGACAAGTAGAAGAATGTCTAAGAAGGAAAATGACAGGTGAGCAGGAGTTGGGCACTAAGGCTCCTCCCGGCTGGAGCCCCGTGCCCTGTGCTGGCAGGGCAGGTTCCCTCTGGCAGCAGCAGCTCTCCCAGCACCGCCCTCCTTCAGCCCTGCAGACACCCGTAGGGCCGAACCCCAGGGTCCCCGTGCTCCCCCCACAATGTCCCACTGCAGGTCCCGTGTCCCCCACCCCATGAGCCACCCAACTTACCCATGGTGGGCTGGGCAGCAGCAAGAGCTGCACTGGGTCCTCTGTGAGCCTGGTCCTTGGAGAAAGGAGATCAACATATTTTTCTGTGGGCAGTGGGGTGGGGCTGGCGGGGTTTGGGTGTCCTGTACAATCGTGCTCAGCCACGCCTGTCCCACCCAGGAGCCCCCGGTCCCCCCCACAAGCACAGAACCCTCAGACTCTGCCCAGGCTCCTGCCTGGCCCAGAGCTTGGTGGTTGCTCCACCAATACAGCGAGGAGTGCAGCCCCCTGTCACTGTCCCCCCAGCTCAGAGAAAGGCTGCTGTCCCCAAACACCCACTGTGGGAGCACAGCACCCACACCACCAACCTGTCCTGTGTGTACTGTGCTCTGAGGGTCAAAGTGCTGCAGGGAAGATATCAACAAGCAATATCACAACAGGTAATTTCCTTGAAATTGCTCAGTCGCTGAGTTTCAATTTCATTTCCGTCAACACTTGGTGTTGCTGTCTCAGCTGGAGCAGGGCTGGGGCTCCCCCATCTCCAGGACTTTGGACCTTGGGGTTGTCTCTGCAGGGATCCTGTGGCTTTCCACTGTGGGGAACTGTGAGGAATTCTTTTAAAAACAGATTATCTGTAATGAAGTTAAGTCAACTGAGACAACATTTATCTGAAAATAATTTATTGATAAAGAAAAAAGCAAACAGAAAAAGAAGTTACCTTACTAAAATTGCTAGGAAAGACGGAGAGAGGAAAATGGAAAAGGAGGGTGGAGAGAGGAAGGCAGAGACAAAAAGCAGCAGCGAGCAGCAGCAGATCGGGGAGCGCCGTCGGGGCTCACAGGATGATGCGCTGCGGCTCCGGCCGCACACGCGGGGAGTGGACGGGAGGTGCGGGAGCCGGGACAGGGCACGGCGGGGGTCGGGCGGCACGGCGGGCTGGGACGGAGGCGGGCAGGGTGGGACACCGGTGGCTGAGGCAGGAACTCGGGGACAGAGCGGCAGGGGGTGGACAGGGACACGGGGAGGGGGGACAGAGGCCAGGGGGAGAGAGAACCCGGCAGAGCAGAAGAGCCAAAAGGCCGGCTGGAGGCAGGGCAAAAAGGACAAAAAGCGGGCTGGGGCCAGGGCAAAAAGGACAAAAAGTGGGCTGGGGTCATGGGGCCAGGGCAAAGAAGCACAGATGTTTGGCAAGCTGGACCAAAGTAAAAATGCCAGGCTCAGAGGCCCCCAAACTCAAAAAGCCCCAGAGTCACCAAGACCCAAAAGCAAAAGCACAAAAATGCCCCCCAGACAAACAGCAGGTCTCCAAAGCCACCAGAGCTTGTGGTGCAAGCCATGCCCCCCCAGGATGCTCTGGCAGCACCCCAGCAGCTCCCCCATGGCTGGTGCCCAGGGATCCCGCCCTGAGGATCCCAGACACGGCTCCCAGGAGCCAAGACAAGGTCCCAGCCCAGCAGGAGCAGTGGGGCACAGCGTGTCTGGCAGGAGCAGCTCCCCTGTCCCAGCCCAAATCAGAGAGAGTGGCTGTCCTGAGCCCCAGGCTGCAGAGATGCACCCACTGCACCCCTGGGGCTCTGCCGGCCCTGCAGGGCAGTGCCATGCTGCCCTGGGCATTTGCTGCAGCAGTGCTGGGCTCCCAGGGACTGCCAGCACTGTCAGGCTGCAGTGGGAGCCAGCCCCTGGCTGGGCAGGGGCACAGGGAGCAAGGCTGGAAACTCTGCCTGGGCAATCCCTTCCTGGAGCACGGCAAATGCCCAGCTGTGGGGCAGGAACCTGAGCCACGATGCACAACAATCACCACCACACACACCCACACCAGCAACGCACTTTTATTAAAGCTTTAAAGGCATTGATTGATCAAAGCCATCCAAATATGTTAAAGGGGCAGCTGCTGGTCAGTGGGAGCATTCTAGTCCATGCTGTGGGAAGAAATGAAGCAGGCTGCTTGGAAGGAAGGAAATCACCTTCTGTTCACTGGCCATGGTAATCAGGCTTTCTTCTTGTGGTCACCATGGCATTGGCTGCAGCCTGTGGGGCTGACCCTTTGTTTCCCCCCTGTAAAGACAGGAGAGTCATGTCCCAGAGGCATCGAGGCTGCCTGTGATGGACAAGCACGAGGCAGGGACAGCCAAAAATGTCTCTCCAGCAAGGGTCTCCCCAGTCTGTGCCAGGGAGTTGGCCTGCAGGGAGCTCTGCTCCCTGAGCACACCCAGCCATTTTCTGCTCTCCCTTTGTGCCTCTGACCAGTGCTGCCAGTGGACACGGGAGTTCTGGCCACAGAGCCGTCACCTGCCTGCACAGCCCCTGCTGCCCTCAGCCCCAACCCCTACCCCAGCAGGTCCTGGCTCTTCCCACCACATTGGGATGGTTCCCTTTCCCACTCTTAGAGCACATTCAGACCAGTGATGGCTTCAAGGGCTGCTCTGGCTTCAGACTAAGCCCATGTTCCCACCCAGCACAGCCCATCCTCCCTGCCCTCCCCACTCACCAACTTCAAAAGAGAAGGAAAAAGATCCCTTGCTTATTTTCATGGCTATCCTCTCTTTGCATAGTGCTGCTCCAGGGAGGAGAGAGAAGTGTTTAGGGTGCTCGCTGTGACCCACATGTCCCCCTGCCACCAGCACCAGATCCGGCCTCCCCAAAAGCACCCAGGCACCAGAGCGGGGAGCGAGGGCTGGGGGTGCAGGGACAGGGACACCCATGGGTGGCAGGAGAGGAACAGTGTGCAGGGCTGCAGCAGCGGGGGCAGGCAGAATTCCAGGCCAGAGCTGCCCCTTCCCCCTCAGCAGCACCACCAGAATTAAAGCCGAGCACTACTCATCTCATGCCAAAGTCTCACTTAGAAGTAGAAGTCCCATGATGAATCCCAGAAGGAATGCAATCACGAGTAGCTGGAAGTCTAAGATGGAAGATGACAAACAGCCAGGTGTGTGGGCCATAAAGCTCCTCTCAGCTGGATCCCAGCCCTCTGTGCCAGGCAGGGCAGGTTCCCTCTGGCAGCAGCAGCTCTCCCAGCACCGCCCTCCTTCAGCCCTGCAGACACCCCGGGAGGAGAGGGGAGAAGGGGAGAACCCCAGGTTCTCTGTGCCCCCCCACCTGTCCTGATGCATATCCTGTGTCCCTCACCCCACGAGCCACCCAACTTACCCATGATGGTTGGAGCGAGAGCTGCGATGAGTCTGCTCTAACCCCGGTGCCTTGGGAGGAAAGAATGAGATGTTTTCCATGGGCGGCTGGTGGGGTCAGCGGGGCTTTGCCACCTTGCACCAGCACACCAACCACCCCTGTCCCATCCAGGAGACCCTGGCCATGCCTTAAAAGCAGAGACCCCTCAGTCCCCACCCAGGCTCCTGCCCAGCCCATGGCTCCACCATGTGTAAACAAAGGAGGCATGGACTCAGACCTGCAGAGATACTGAGATATTTATCAGAGATAGGAGCTGTTTTATACCCTTCTTCAAGACCCACTATTTCCTTGTAAGTTTTTTTCACTATGTAACCTATCACATATCGCCACATCAGCAACACTCTTAGTGCTTTATTATCATCCTTGTATGGGATGATCTCGTGCTGCTCAGGTGTCAGGAAGATTCCAGCAGGCTCCGCTCCTTAGGGCGTTCACCAAGTGGCATTTCTTCCCAAGGTCAGGGCAGACAAGCTTCTCCGTGCTGCCATGGCATTACAGAGATACACTGGCACAGTTCATTTATTGTTTAACATGATTTTATGAGTAAAATTAATCTAATCCAGTTACAGTGGAAGTTGTGGGAAGGATTTCTCCTTCCAGCACCTGCTGTCTGAGGACGAATCAGCATGCTTGGAAGAAAGGAATCTTGCTTTTCCTCCCTTGAGTGGAACACAGGAAGTTGTTTCTGTGGACTGCATGCTATTGGGTGCTGCTCGGAGGAAAGAGTTATGCCATTTTTTCCCCCCCTGTAAAGACACAGAAGTGTGATGTTCCAGGAGCACTGACAACACTGCCTGCTGAGGGACAGGCGTGAGGCAGGGACAGCCAAGGACTTCTCCTGGGCAGGAGAGGCAAGGGACTCCATGGACTGTGCCAGGGAGTTGGCCTGCAGTGAGCTCTGCTCCCTGAGCACACCCAACCATTTTCTGCTCTCCCTTTGTGCCTCTGACCAGTGCTGAGAGGGGACACAGGAGTCCTTGCCACAGGGCAGTCACCTGCCTGCACAGCCCCTGCTGCCCTCAGCCCCAACCCCTACCCCAGCAGGTCCTTCCCACCACATTGGCTCTTCCCACCACATTGGAATGGTTCCCTTTGCCACACTTTGGGCACATTCAGACCAGTGATGGCTTCAAGGGCTGCTCTGCCTTCAGAGCAAGCCCAGGCTACAACCCCGTGTTCCCACCCAGCACAATCCAGCCCCCCTGCCCTCCCCACTCACCAGCTTCTAAAGAGAAGGAAAACCATCTAGTCTGTATTTTGATTCTTATCTTGTCTTTGCATAGTGCTGCACCATGGAGGAGAGAGAAGTGTTTAGGGTGCTCGCTGTGACCCACGTGTCCCCCTGCCACCAGCACCAGAACCGGCCTCCCCAAAAGCACCCAGGCACCAGAGCAGGGAGCGAGGGCTGGGGGTGCAGGGACAGGGACACCCATGGGTGGCAGGAGAGGAACAGTGTGCAGGGCTGCAGCAGCGGGGGCAGGCAGAATTCCAGGCAGCAGCCAGAATTATTCCCTTCCCTCTCAGCAGCGCCACAAGAGAACCCAAATGCTGTTATCCCGTGCCAGACTCTCACCTATAACTGTAATTCCTGTGATGACTGCAATTAATCCAACGGCCTTTATAATTCCAAGGATGACTGGAACTGGAACTAAGAAGGAAAATGACAGCTGGGCAGCAGTGTGGGTAGTAAAAAAGTAAAGCCCCCCTCAGCTGGATCCCAGCCCTCTGTGCCAGGCAGGGCAGGTTCTCTCTGGCAGCAGCAGCTCCATAGCACCGCCCTCCTTCAGCCCTGCAGACACCCGGGAGGAGAGGGGAGAAGGGGCGACCCCCAGGGTCCCTGTGCCCCCCCAGATCTGTCCCACTGCAGATCCCACGTCCCCCAGCCCACGAAACCCCAACTCACGCATGGTGGGCTGTGCGGGAGCGAGAGCTGCGATGAGTCTGCTCTAATCCCGGCCCCTTGGGAAGCAAGAACGAAATTTTTTCTGTGGGCAGCAGGTGGGGTCAGCGGGGCTTTGCTGCCCTGCATGATCTGCCCCAGCCACCCTCTCCCACCCCGCTGGCCACCCCCGCACCTTAAAAACAGAGACCCCCCATTCCCCCCAAGCTCCTGCCCGGCCCAGGGCTCGGTGGCTGCTCTGCGTGGTGGTGGCCTGGCACGTTTGTCATCTGAGTTACTTTCTCTTGGGTTTGTCACTTCTGATTTTATTCTTTTTTAGGTTTGTCACTTGGATTCTTTCACTCAGAGAGCAACTCACCACTTGCTGCACCAGCTGCGCTCAGCGCAGCTGTCAGCCCAGCTTTGGCACCAGCAGAAAGACCTGCAGCTCCTGCAAGGACAAATGGAGACGTGAACTCCCAGGAGCACCAAGGCTGCCTGCTGAGGCACCCAGCACTGGGCACAGCCAGCCAAGGACTCCTCCTGGGCAGGGAGAGCCGCCTCACCTGCTCCCACTGTGGCTCCAATGACAGTTCCAATGACACTCCCATTATCCCCTGAGAAAGAAAATGTCAGGAGGGCAGGAAGGACATGAGCATGGACAGCAGAGCTCCCCTGAGCAGTGCTGAGCACTCTGTGCCAGGCAGAGCAGTGTCCCAGAGCAGCAGCAGCTCCTCCAGCCTCCCCCTGCCTTCATCTGCCTCTGGCCCCTGAAGACCCCTGGGAAGGGATCACTGGTGGGGTGGGTCCCACTGTCCCCTCGGGCTGGGAGGAAAAGGGAGAAAGGGCACACCCCAGAGTGCCCACCCACCCTGCCCTGCCCACCACCCCCACCAACCTGGAACAGCACAGGAATCACACCTGTCACCTGCACTGCCCAGATGGCCCCTGTACCCGCAGCCACCCCATGAGCACGGAGCCCCTTGTATTTAGAACCAGGGCCAACCCATGTGTGCCTCAGACCCAGAGCCCCTCAGTGGCTGGAGGATGCTCAGGCTGGTGTTTTGGGGGGTGGCTGCCCTTTGTGGATGATGGGATACACCAGGATGCAGCTGAGGATCAGTGGTTTGGGCTACAGGGGCACCTGGAAGGCTGACAGGTCTTCCCAGGGTCTCCCCAGTCTGTGCCAGAGATTTGGCCTGCAATGAGCTCTGCTCCCTAAGCACACCCAACCCCTTTCTACTCCCCATTTCCTCCTCTGACCAGTGCTGCCAGGGGACACAGGCGTTCTGGCCACAGAGCAGTCACCTGCCTGCACAGCCCCTGCTGCCCTCAGCCCCAACCCCTACCCCAGCACGTCCTGGCTCTTCCCACCACATTGGGATTGATTCCTTTCCCACAGTTTTGGCACATTCAGCCCAGTGATGGGTTTAAAGGCTCCTTTAGCTTCAGAGTAAATCCAGGGTAAAACGCCATGTTCCACCCAGCACAGCCCAGCCCCCCAGCCCTCCCCACTCACCCTCAGAGTTGTGATCCTTTGCTGCTGCTCCTGCAAGGGAGGACAGAACAGTGTTAGGGGGCTCGCTGTGACCCACATGTCCCCCTGCCACCAGCACCAGAACCGGCCTCCCCAAAAGCACCCAGGCACCAGAGCGGGGAGCGAGGGCTGGGGGTGCAGGGACAGGGACACCCATGGGTGGCAGGAGAGGAACAGTGTGCAGGGCTGCAGCAGCGGGGGCAGGCAGAATTCCAGGCCAGAGCTGCCCCTTCCCCCTCAGCAGCACAACCAGCAAAGCTGAGCACTGCTCACCCCGTGCCAAATTCTTACCTACAGTTGTGCATCCAGTGATGAGCAGAGTGATGATTGCAACGGTGGCTACCCTTGTACCTACGAAGGAAAACGGCAGAAGGGCAGCAGTGTGGGCAATAAAGTCCCTCTCAGCTGGAGCCCAGTGCCCAGTGCTGGGTCCCTCTGGCAGCAGCAGCTCTCCCAGCACCGCCCTCCTTCAGCCCTGCAGACCCCGGGGAGGAGAGGGGAGAAGGGGCGACCCCCAGGGTCCCTGTGCCCCCCCGGGCTGTCCCACTGCAGGTCCCGTGTCCCCCACCCCACGAGCCTCCCGGCTTACCCATGGTTGTCCGGACGGGAGCGAGAGCTGCGATGAGTCTGCTCTAATCCCGGTACCTTGGGAAACGAGAACAAGATTTTTTTTTGCACAGGCAGCAGGTGGGGTCAGCGGGGCTTTGCTGCCCTGCGCCATCGCCCCCATCAACCTCTCTCCCACCCAGGAGACCCCGGCCCCCTCCCCTCACAAGAAGAGACCCTCTGCTCCAAGCCCCAGCTCCTGCCCGGCCCAGGGCTCGGTGGCTGCTCTGCGTGGTGGTGCAGCGAGGTGAGCAGCCCCCATTGCTGTCCCCCCCAGAGAAAGGCTGCTGTCCCCAACACCCACCGCTGGACCGAGGCACCTCGCATCAAGCTCCGGTGTCCGTTGTGCTCTGAGGAGCCGAGGGCTGCAGCAAACATCGAGCTCGGAGGTGTGGCCGGTCAGCTGATTTCCGAGAAATGAGCTCGCTCAGTTTCGTTTCTGGTTGCTGTTGCTGCCTGCTGCAATCCCTTCCTGGAGCACAGCGAATCCGCAGCGGCGCGGCAGAACCTGAGCCGCGATGCACAGCAAGCACCACCACACACACCCACACCAGCAACGCACTTCTATTAAACCTTTCAAAGCATTGATTGCTCAAGGCAATCCTAATTTTTTATGGGTCAGCTGTGGGTCTCTGGTGGATTTCTGCCGCTTCTCTTTCCCCGGCTGGGTGATGGTAAGAGCGGGGAGGGCGGCAGATTCCCCCTGGAGCTCCGTTGAATCCCAGGTGTCAGATGTTTCGGTGCATTATAAAACACAGGGAAGCACACGGGTCCTAGGGTAACTTTATTTGATGGTAAATCCCTTTTCCTCTCCCGGGACTCCAATTAAGGGGCAAACAAAAACTTATATGTGAGGGCAGGTCTCAGGGGAAGGTACAGTCTTCAACAAATCAAGAGAATTGGGAGTAAAAACCAGGCAGAGATCACAATGTATGAACTGATAAAATTCCAAGGGAGCTGCTAAAGTCTGGAGAAATAGAAACTAGCTGACGAAATAACTGGGAAAAGGTGGAGACAAAAGGAAAACAGCATAAAGAAAACTACCAAGTTACAAATCAAACCATGAACCTACTAATAAACAAAAAGCACAATACAACAGCTTTCCAGTTCCTGCAGTGGGGAGACACCAATCAGATCTCTTGGAAGGAAGGAAATCTGCTTCTGTTCACTAGCCATGGTAATCAGGAGTTCTTCTTCAGGACCTCATTGTATGGGCTGCTCTCTGGAGGATCATCCTCTTGTTTTTCCCCTGTAAAGACAGGAGAGTCATGTCCCAGAGGCATCGAGGATGCCTGCTGATGGACAAGCACGAGGCAGGGACAGCCAAAAATGTCTCTCCAGCAAGGGTCTCCCCAGTCTGTGCCAGAGATTTGGCCTGCAGGGAGCTCTGTTTCCTGAGCACACCCAACCCCTTTCTGCTCTCACTTTCTGCTTCTGACCACTCCCAGCTGACACGGGAGTTCTTGCCACAGAGCAGTCACCTGCCTGCACAGCCCTCAGCCCTGACCCCTACCCCAGCTCGTCCCGGCTCTTCCCACCACATTGGGAGGGATCCCTTTCCCACTCTTAGAGCACATTCAGACCAGTGATGGCTTCAAGGGCTGCTCTGGCTTCAGAGCAAGCCCAGGCTACGACCCCGTGTTCCCACCCAGCACAGCCCAGCCCCCCTGCCCTCCCCACTCACCAACACGGAGATGCAGACCCTTGGAATTTATAGTGAAGTCCATGGGCTGATTCCTTGCCAGTGCTGCAGGGAGGGCAGAGCAGTGTCCCCGGGCTGTCCCACTGCAGGTCCCGTGTCCCCCACCCCACGAGCCACCCAACTTACCCATGGTGGGCTCGGTGGGAGCGAGAGCTGTGATGAGTCTGCTCTTATCTCGGTCCCTTGGGAAGCAAAAACAACATTTTTTTGCACAGGTAGCAGGTGGGGTCAGCGGGGCTTTTCTTCCCTGCACGATCGCCCCCATCAACCTCTCTCCCACCCCGGAGACCTCGGCCCCCTCCCCTCACAAGAAGAGACCCTCTGCTCCAAGCCCCAGCTCCTGCCCGGGCCCCCAGCCACCCTTCTCCCACCCATGAGCCCCCAGCCCCTCCCCTCACAAGAAGAGACCCCCAGCCCCCGCACATGCTTCTGCCCGTCCCACGGGCCAGTGGCTGCTCCGCCGGCTCAGAGAGGTGAGCAGCCCCCCGTTACTGTCCCCCCCCCGCCACCAGAGAAAGGCTGCTGTCCCCAAACACCCACCGTGGGACCGCGGCACCTCAACGTCTGGTGTGTGTTTTGTGCTCTGAGGGAGCTAATGGTGCCCGAAAATATGTTAACCCACCCCTGCCCCTCCCGCCAAGAAGGGCAGAGGTGGGTCAACTGATTTCCGAGAATTTCTGGAATCCCTCGCTCAGTTTTGCTTTCTGTTTAAGCAAGGGATGTTGCTGCCTTTGCTAGAGCAGGACTGAGGCTGTCCCGTCCTTGGGGTGCATAGGGGCATATGAAGAAGTATGTAGGGATGGGAGGAAGAGGTGGGTTCTGCGGGGCTGGGGGCGCAGGGCACGGGGCTGTCACCCTGCCGGCCGTGTCCTCCAGCCCCAGTGAGATCCTGCAAGGAGCCAGTGGCCTTGGGGAAACCCGAGACTGGGCAGGGGCTGTGGGGAGCCCCTCCTGCCCTCCCTCAGGGCCTCTCTCCAGTGCAGCCCAGGCAGAGGCACTGCCCAGATGGCCCCTGTGCCCACAGTCACCTTGCAGCTCTTCATGTTTGGAGCCATGGCCAACCCATGTGTGCCTCGGACCCAGAGCCCCTGGGTGTCTGGAGAGTGTTCAGGCTGCGGTTTTGGGGGGTTTGGGCTGCCCTTTGAGGCTGATGGGATACTCCAGGCTCAGTGGTTTGGTCTGAGGGGGCACCTGAGGAGATGCAACTGTGAGGAGAAGGGGGCACAGCCAAGGGCCGTGTCCTGTGAGACAACACAGGCCCACATGGATGGGTGGCAGAGGTGGGCACCTGTGCTTGGAACCACTTCCAAAGGGGAATCCTCCTTGGCCCTGGCTCTTGGCTTTGCAGGGGTCTATCCTGCTGCTGCTGCTGCTGCTGTTGTGCTGGGCCAGGATGCACCAAATCATTCCCCTGCCACCCTGCACCCTGCAGGACACCCTCCACGTGTCCCTGTGCATTTGTCAGAGCAGTGGTTGAAGGCTGTTGCAGCTGGGCCAGTGTAGGGAGACAACTACCTTCCACAGCCCTATGCCCCTGCCCAACTCCATTGCAGTGATTCAGCAGCAGCAGCCAAGGCCACACGTGCAACAGCTCCCTGCGGGTGCCAAGTACAGCCTCACATCGCTGGCCCTGCTCACAGCACCCACAGGCAGCAGAGTCACTGCTCAGTGCCACCCCCAAGCTCCCTTCCTGGAGCACGGGAAATGCCCAGCTGTGGGGCAGGAACCTGAGCCATGACACACACCAAGCACCACCACACAGACATGCCAGCACTGTTCATTTATTGCTTATTTATTGCTTAATGCCAAATCATTTAAAGCAGAAGCTGTGGGAGGGATTGGACTTTCCAGCGCCGGCCATTTCAATCCGTGTGCTTGGAAGGAAGGAATCTTGCTTTTGCTCCCTTGCATTGAACATAGGGAGCTGTTTCTGTGCCAGCATGCAACCAGCTGCTGCTCAAAGGGCAGAGTGAGGCCATTTATGCTGCCCCTGCAAAGACAGAAGTATGATGTTCCAGGAGCATCAAAGCAGCCAGCAGAGGGACAGGCATGAGGCAGGGACAGCCAAGGACTTCTCCTGGGCCAGAGAGGCAAGGGTCTCCATGGACTGTGCAAGGCGTTGGCCTGCAGGGAGCTCTGCTCCCTGAGCCCATCCAACCCCTTTCTGTTCTCCCTTTCTGCCTCCAAACACTGCTGCCTGCTGCCTCCAAACACCTGCTGGACACAGGAGTCCTTGCCACAGAGCAGTCACCAGCCTGCACAGCCCCTGCTGCCCTCAGCCCCAACCCCTACCCCAGCAGGTCCTGGCTCTTTCCCCCACTTTGGGAGGGATCCCTTTCCCACTCTTAGAGCACATTCAGACCAGTGATGGCTTCAAGGGCTGCTCTGGCTTCAGAGTAAGCCCAGGCTACAACCCCGTGTTCCACCCAGCACAGCCCAGCCCCCCTGCCCTCCCCACTCACCAGCGTGGAAACGTGCACCTTCAGCATTCATGCACCCATCCGATTTCGACTGAATCTCAGTACTGTTGCTCCAGGGAGGACAGAACAGCGTTAGGGGGCTCGCTGTGACCCACATGTCCCCCTGCCACCAGCACCAGAACCGGCCTCCCCAAAAGCACCCAGGCACCAGAGCAGGGAGCGAGGGCTGGGGGTGCAGGGCCAGGGACACCCATGGGTGGCAGGAGAGGAACAGTGTGCAGGGCTGCAGCAGCGGGGGCAGGCAGAATTCCAGGCAGCAGCCTCAGCTGCCCCTTCCCTCTCAGAAGGAACAGAACCCAAATGCTGTTATCCCGTGCCAGACTCTCACCTATAAATGCACATGCAGTGACGACTACAAAGGCGATAATACCGGACCCTAAGAAGGAAAATGAGCAGGAGATGGGCACTAAGGCTCCTCCCGGCTGGAGCCCCGTGCCCTGTGCCAGGCAGGACAGGGGCTGCTGGCAGCAGCAGCTCTCCCAGCACCGCCCTCCTTCAGCCCTGCAGACACCCGTAGGGCCGAACCCCAGGCTCCCCGTGCTCCCCCCACAATGTCCCACTGCAGGTCCCGTGTCCCCCACCCCACGAGCCACCCAACTTACACATGGTGGGCTGGGCGGGAGGGAGAGCTGCGATGAGTCCGCTCTAATCCTGGTCCCTTGGGAAGCAAGAACAAGGCGTTTTTCCGCGGCCGGCAGGTGGGGTCAGCGGGGCTTTGTTGCCCGGCACGATCGCCCCCAGCCAGGTCTCACTCCCCCAGCAGACCCCGGCCCCCTCCACATAAAAGCAGAGATCCCCCAGTCCCGCCCAAGCTCCTGCCCGGCCGGGTTTCGGTGGCTGCTCCGCCGGCGCAGCGAGGTGATCAGCCCCTTGCTGTCCCCCCCAGAGAAAGGCTGCTGTCCCCGAACACCCACCGCGGGACCGCGGCACCCCTCACCACCAGTCCTGTGTGTACTGAGCTCTGAGGGGCAAAGCACGGCAGGAAAACCGATCTAGGGAGTGTCTTCGCAAATGATTTCCGAGAAATTCTGAAGCCGGTCATTCAGTTTCACTTTCTGGTTAACTCTTGATGTTGCTGCCTCTGCTAGGGCGGTGCTGGGCCAGTCTGTGTCAGAGAGTTGGCCTGCAGTGAGCTCTGCTCCCTGAGCACACCCAGCCCCTTTCTTCACTCCATTCCTACCTCTGACCACTGCTGTCAGTGGACACAGGAGTCCTTGCCAAAGAGAAGTCACCTGCCTGCACAGCCCCTGCTGCCCTCAGCCCTGACTCCTACCCCTCCAGGTCCTGACTTTTCCCACCACACAGGGGGTTTTCCCTTTCCCACAGTTTGATGAGATTTGAACCAGTGTGGAATTAAAGAACTGCTATGGCTTAGAGCAAGCGCAGGGTCCAACCCCATGTTCCCTGCCAGCACAGCCCACCTCTCCTCCCTCCCCACTCACCGACTGTCAAAATGAAGGCAGCAGCCTTGGTCTTGCTAACTCCTGCTGCAGCTATGGCCACTGGTGCACCACTTGCCACGGCTGCAGGGAGGACAGAACAGAGTTAGGAGCTTGCTGTGACGCACGTGTCCCCCTTCCACCAGCACCAGAACCCGCCTCCCCAAAAGCACCCAGGCACCAGAGCAGGGAGCGAGGGCTGGGGGTGCAGGGACAGGGACACCCATGGGTGGCAGGAGAGGAACAGTGTGCAGGGCTGCAGCAGCGGGGGCAGGCAGAATTCCAGGCAGCAGCCAGAGCTGCCCCTTCCCTGTCAGCAGCACAACCAACAAAGCTGAGCACTGCTCATGCCATGCCTGACGCTCACCTATGAATGCAGCTCCAATGATAAGTCCCACGAGGAGGCCAATGCATAAGCATTTTAAACCTAAGAAGAAAAGTGACACACGGGCAGGAGCGTGGGCACGGAAGCTCCTCCAGGCTGGAGCCCAGTGCCCTGTGCCAGGCAGAGCAGGTTCCCTCTGGCAGCAGCAGCTCCCCCAGCGCCGCCCTCCTTCAGCCCTGCAGACACCCGGGAGGAGAGGGGAGAAGGGGCGACCCCCAGGGTCCCTGTGCCCACCCAGATCTGTCCTACTGCAGATCCCACGTCCCCCAGCCCACGAAACCCCAACTCACGCATGGTGGGCTGTGCGGGAGCGAGAGCTGCGATGAGTCTGCTCTAATCCCGGCCCCTTGGGAAGCAAGAACGAAATTTTTTCTGTGGGCAGCAGGTGGGGTCAGCGGGGCTTTGCTGCCCTGCATGATCTGCCCCAGCCACCCTCTCCCACCCCGCTGGCCACCCCCGCACCTTAAAAACAGAGACCCCCCATTCCCCCCAAGCTCCTGCCCGGCCCAGGGCTCGGTGGCTGCTCTGCGTGGTGGTGGCCTGGTGAGGTGAGCAGCCCCCCATTGCTGTCCCCCCCAGAGAAAGGCTGCTGTCCCCCAACACGCACCGTGGGACCGCGGCACCCCTCGCCACCAGCCTCTGTTGTGTCGGCTGTGCTCGGAGGAAGGAAGGGCGACGCCGGATATATCCCGTCAGGGAGGGGTGGATCATTAAATATTGCAGAATTTTCGGAAGCCGCTCGCTCAGTTTCGCTTTCTGGTTAACTCTTGATGTGGCTGCCTCTGCTAGGGCGGTGCTGGGCTCTCCCGTCCCCGCGGTCCCACCCGGGGCTGTCCCCTCAGGGAGCCCTTTCGGCCCGAAGGCCTCGGCAGCTGAGGGGGAAGGCCGCGCCGGGCTGGGGCTGCTCAGGCCTGGGCCAGGGCTCCTGTGGCTTCACGGGGCATTTCCCCAGCAGGTTTGGGATCCATGAAACTGTGGAGAGCAGAGCTGAAGCGCTCTGCCTGTCTCCTGCCCACTGGGCAGTCTCAAAACCAGCCAAAGCCCCTCTCCTCACCCCCCGTCTGTCCCCCCTCAGCTGCTCCTCAGCCCTTCCCAGCTCGGGGCAGCACGGCGGCAGCGGTCCGGGCCAGCGGGTGCCGTAGCTCATGCGCCGCTGCAGCTGGTTGAAGGGGACCAAATCCAGTTGCAAGTTGATCTGGTTCCTTTTTACCAGCCCCAGGGGACGCATCGTCTCTCCGGAGGTGCCGTCTGGCCGCTGCTGGTGATGGGGGCTCCTGCTGTGGGGGTCCCAGCCCAAAAATACATACTTCTTAACATTCCATAGCACCGGCCGGCTCCATATGGGCATATGAAGAAGTATGTAGGGATGGGAGGGAGAGGCGGGTGCCGCGGGGCTGGGGGCGCAGGGCACGGGGCTGTCACCCTGCCGGCCGTGTCCTCCAGCCCCAGTGAGATCCTGCAAGGAGCCAGTGGCCTTGGGGAAACCCGAGACTGGGCAGGGGCTGTGGGGAGCCCCTCCTGCCCTCCCTCAGGGCCTCTCTCCAGTGCAGCCCAGGCAGAGGCACTGCCCAGATGGCCCCTGTGCCCACAGTCACCTTGCAGCTCTTCATGTTTGGAGCCATGGCCAACCCATGTGTGCCTCGGACCCGGAGCCCCTGGGTGTCTGGAGAGTGTTGAGGCTGCGGTTTTGGGGGGGTTTGGCTGCTCTTTGAGGCTGATGGGATACTCCAGGCTCAGTGGTTTGGTCTGAGGGGGCACCTGTGGAGCTGCACCTGCGAGGAGAAGGGGGCACAGCCAAGGGCCGTGTCCTGTGAGCCCACACTCCAGCACGGATGGGTGGCAAGGGTGGGGGCTTGTGCTTGGAACCACTTCCAAAGGGGAATCCTCCTTGGCTCTGGCTCTTCGCTTGGCAGGGGTTCCCCCTGCTGCTGCTGCTGCTGCTGTTGTGCTGGGTCAGGATGCACCAAATCATTCCCCTGCCCCCTGCATTTCCCACCACCCCCAGACTCCACATCCCCATATCTGTCCATGTGCCAGAGCAGTGGTTCAGGCTGGTGCACATGAAGCCAGTGTAGGGGGGCACCCACCTCCTACACCCCCACACCCCTGCCCGTCTCGTTTGTGGGGCCAGGAGGAGGACACAGGACTCTGGGCCCCTCTCACCCCCTCCCCACCCAGCAGCTCTGCACTGGGAAGGCTGGAGGTGCCTTTGCCCGTGGCAGGAGGGATTCAGCTGAGAGCTTGACAGTGTAAGAGGGCTGTGGGGACTTCCCCTGCCCAGCACAGTTTGGTGACAGCAGGGTGACAGAGGGGACACACCCTGACTTCAGTGACCTTCCCAGCCCCAAACCTGCAGTTGGAATGGGACAATGGCAGGTACAGGGAGTGTTCCTGGGTTCCCAGGGCTGCCCCCTCTCAGGACAGGGGAGTGAGGGGTGCGTGGGGGTCTGGCTGTGGGCAGGAGGGGCTGGCTGGACACGGCGTGGCCGTGACTCAGCACTGGGAGCCGTGGCCACACACACCGCAGCTCCCTGCAAGGAGCCCCTGGGTGCCAAGTACAGCCTCACGTCACCAGCCCAGCTCACAGCAGCCACAGGAAGCAGAGTCACTGCTCAGTGCCACCCCCGAGACACCAACCAGTGCTGTGGGGCACAGCATGACACAGAGGATGCTCTGGCAGCAGCCCAAGAGCTCCCCCATGGCTGGTGCCCAGGGATCCCGCCCTGAGGATCCCAGACACGGCTCCCAGGAGCCAAGACAAGGTCCCAGCCCAGCAGGAGCAGTGGGGCACAGCGTGTCTGGCAGGAGCAGCTCCCCTGTCCCAGCCCAAATCAGAGAGAGTGGCTGTCCTGAGCCCCAGGCTGCAGAGATGCACCCACTGCACCCCTGGGGCTCTGCCGGCCCTGCAGGGCAGTGCCATGCTGCCCTGGGCATTTGCTGCAGCAGTGCTGGGCTCCCAGGGACTGCCAGGACCAAAAACTCAGGGTTGAACTCACCCTGAAACTGCTAAGCCAGGGCTCTCACATCGCAGCCGAGTTCATCTCCAGTCACCTCGGCTGACCTTGGGCAGCCTCCCAGTGCTGGCTGTTAGAGACACCCCAGCCCAAGTGGCCCACGCAGCCCCAGCCCATGGCACTGTTCCCGCAGCCCTCGGCTGGGCTCTCCCAGTGACCTTGGAGGGCTGCACCCAGCTCCACGGGATGCTCACTGCATCCGGGCTACCTCCTGTCCCCCTGCTCCAGCCTGAGCCCCCCCTGCCTGTTCCCACCACCCCTCCTTGCCCCTGCCCTGTTCCACAGACCGGCTCTTCCCCACTGCCCTCTCTGTGCCCTGTCATCACCACCACCCCCTCTGCAGCCCTGGGTGTGCCCCCCACCACCGAAAGCATCCCTGAGCCCTCCCCAGCCCCAGCGCTGCATTTTGCAGCTGTAGACCCCGAGCCGAAACCCACCAGGGAGCTGTGGCCTGGGGCAGCCCCTCTTCCACGGATTCTCCATGCCCGCAGACCGGCCGTGAGTCCCCGGCCGGGGCAGCCCCCGGTGTTCTCCAGCTGCCCCGAGAGCAGCTCCGTGCCCGGGCAGGGTGGTTTGCGGGCACCAGACGGCTTTGCAGGGGGAGGCGAAGGAGCCGGGGGGCTGCCGGGGCCGGCCATAGTGGCACCCACGCGTCCGCAGGCACCCAACAACCCCAGCTTGGCTATAAAAGGAAGAGTCTTTTTTTTCCCCCGGCTCCGCCAGCGCCGCGTCCCTGGCCGAGCTCTGCAGCCGCTGCCCCGCAGGGGCCTTTCCAAGTTTTCCCATCCAGCGCTGCCCCCCCAGCCGGCTTCCCCCGGCTCATCCATCCCCGGCAAACCCACTGCAGCAGCTGCTGAGTGTCCTATAAAACACCAAGAGGCCCGGCAAGCAGGAGGGAGGTGGGTGCAAGGGGAGTGCTGGCTCGGGGTGCCTGGGGGAGCACCCCGGCTCCCGTCCTGCCGTCCCTCCGCCCGTGTCGGGGCGGTGGGTGCATGATCTGCTGCACCCGGCCGTGGTGGCCAGCATTTCCCTCCGTGCGAGCCCAAAACGCGATGCCGAGGTGCCCAGAAGTTGGGTTTCTCACCCTATGCCACAGGCGCGGGGTGTCCCCGCTTTGCTGGCAGAAGGAGCTCCCTGGGGAGGGGGTGACCGGCCCCGGTGCAGGGGGACACCCGCAGGCAGAAGGGCCGGCTGCTGCCCGCAGAGCCCGAGCATTCACCTCGCAGGACCCTCTGCAGCCGGGACCTGCCGCGGGCCCCATTGTCCCCCCAGCCGCACAGAGACTTTCTGCCACCCCCCGCCTGACCCGGGCTGGCCCCAGTCGGGGGGGCTGCGGTGTCCCCCTCCCCAGGGTGTCCCCTCCCCGCCCACGCCGAGCCGCTGCCGGCGCCCCGCAGCAGGAGCATCCCCGGCCCCGGCGGGCTCAGCACCGGCCGGGCTCGCTGAAGGTTAAACCTTGGCGGCGGGGAAAGCCCCGCTGCCCCCCGCACACCCCGCACCTCCCGCCCGCAAGGCCACTCACGGTCCTGGAGGTGACACCGGCCGCAGCACGCCGGGCTGGCGGCAGCGAGCTGCGGTGACACCCGGCACGAGCACGCTGCTTCCCTGCTCGCCTTGACTTTGCCACAGGACTCCTCCGGCTCGTCCGCAGGAGCTTGCAGCATCCTCCAGTTCAGCGGGAGAAGTTCCTCGCCAGGGAGGGAGGGAGGAGGGAGGGATTTAAGGCAGACCCTGCCGGGGATGCAACATCTACGGGTGCAGTTGAAGACCCCCCGCTTGCTGAGCACCCCAAAGCTCCTTCCTGGCTCTCCCCACCCTGGTCTCGGTGTCCCGGCACATGTGCCCGATTCTGGGCGATCTCTGCTGAGAAACCCTCTCCCTCCCGGACAGACAGAGCCAGGGCTGCCAGCAGCACGCAGACAGCCGGCCAGCTCTGCCACCTGCCCCACGTCCCCCGGGTGCCCGGCGGTGCCCAGAGCCGTGTCGTGGAGGAGCCGACACACACCACTGGGCCCAGCAGCAGCCCAGGGCAGCTCGAGGGCAAAACGGAGCTCGCGGAGTGCACAGAAGGGTAAAACCTGTCACCACCTCAGCCGCACGAGATGCCCATGGCCAGGGCACCCCGTGGGGATGGGGATCCCTGGGTTGCCCCAGGCCGCCCGCCTGGGGTGTCCCCAACACCCACGGGGCGGTTGTTCCAGCATCCCCAGCCGCCAAGTCCGGGGGTACAGGGCTGCTCTGCCCACCCGGAGCCCCGCCTGTCCTACCTGCGGAGAGCTGGCAGGGCAAGGGGCACCCCCTGCCCGGGGCAGGACGCTGGGAGACACCTCAGCGTGGCTCCCAAAGGGAAAAGCCGGGACCAGCAGCGTGGCATCCCTCCCGCGGCGGTCCCGGCGGCTCCCTGCCTGCCACGGCACCCTCCCCACCCCGGGTGCGCTCTGTTTGCCTGCTATTTTTGGCAGCCTCCTAAGAGCTCCTCTCAGGCTATTAATAATGAGAGTGAGAAATTCGTTTGGCCTCTCCTATATAAGGAAAGGTAGAGGCTTGGAGGCAGCTAAATATACTGGCGCGTGCGGGAGCGAGCGGGGAGCCTTTGGCACCGCGTGTGGAAAAGAGATTGTTTGAACAATGGAAAGACGGACTCACCCGGCGCACGGGGCCCCGCCTGGACCGACGGGCGGACGGAGGGATGCACGGAGGGTGGCGGTGCCCGCGGGCAGCACCCGCATCGCCCCCGCTGCCCCTCGGGGCTCTGCCTCAGCGGGAGAGGGGAGGCAGGAGCGGGGATGCTCTGCAGCTCCTCTTCGAGCCACGCCGCCCCAAAATGCTGTAAGAACCCCCAGCGGGCCAGCAGCGAGCCGGGGAGTGACGCTGGGTCTGTGCCCGCTCAGGAGGGACGTGAGGGCTGCTGGTGGCGACCGGCGACCCCTGGGACATGACCGGCACAGGGTCGGTCCCCCAGCTGAGCCCCCGCAAATCCCGGCCTCTCTCAACGCTCCTGCCCGGCTCTGGAACAACCCCGGGGGCATCTCCTGCGGCCGGGGGTGGAGGTGACACATTGTGGCATCTCTGGCACTTCTGCAGGGTGCCAGCGGTGCCACAGTGTGTCCCCAGCTCCCTGCAGCGTGCCCACACCTCGGCACAGGATAATTTACGGAGCACATCATCCCTGTAACTGTGTCCCCCCCGTGGTACGGGAGACCCGGCGAGGTGCGGGAGCTCCCGTCAGGGAGAGCCCGGCTGGAAGAAGGAAAGCAGCAGCAATCCAGGGAATCCTAATGACAGGAAGGCGCTGGGGAGCAGCGCCAAATCCACACGGTCGGAGCAAGGACAGCACATGCAGCAGGATGAGTACAAAGAGAGGAAAAACCGGGCTCCTCTGGCTCCGGAAAGAGCCTTTGGGGTTTTTTTAACTCTTCTTAGCCACGGGTGCTGCTTAGGGAGGCACAAGCGGTGCAACCCCGACCTCCCTGCCTGGCCTTGGCCGCGGTGCCTGCGGCCAAATCCGGCACCCGAGGGACTGCGGGGCTTCCCCGGCCTGCCGGGCCACCCAACACCGGGACAGCCGTGCTGGGCAGGGCCCTCGAGCTGCTGCCTTGGCCACCGTCACGGCTGCCTCCGTTTCCTGAGCTGCGAAATTCCAGCAATAAAACCCATTTCACAGATTGCGAGCCTGGGGCTGCTCTGAGGCTCCAGCCCAGGCCCTGATCCCCCCCCGGGGATGTGACACAGACCAAAAACTGCTGGAGGCAGGAGCAGCTCTTTGCCCTCAGGGCTGTGAGAAACCCCATTCCCCTCTGCTGGCGCTGCCCCGGGGCTGCTGCAGTTCTCCCCACCCACCAAGCGGAGCCCAAAGCTGGGGAGCTCAGCAGATCCGGCTCCCTCTGTCCTTAGGTGACATTGAGGGAAGTGAACTCAGAGGCCCCAGCCCACCCCATGGACCACGTGAACCACGAACAGAAGGGCAACTCTGAAGGTGAATCTCCTCCCCTGTCCAAAAAATCTGTGTCCGGTGCCGTCGGTCCCTCCTGGCAGCCACGGTGCTAAAGTGTGCTCCCTACACAGCCAGCCCCAGCAAGAGCTGGGTGGCCACAGCCATGTCCCTCAAGGGCTCCACTAATAAATGTTCCCCTGCTGCATGAGGGGGTGCTGCTATGCAGGTGTGGGGCAGATGCTGTTTTGCTTTCCTGTGAAATCAAGTCTTAGGTGAGAACTGTCCCACGAAGTGAAACATCTTTCCATTTGCAAGAACCATTTTGTTAAAACAAAAAAAATTAGTCTTGACCCAAGTAACACTGGAATCACCAAACATCGTTAACCGAAGTGCAGACAGGTTGGGCACGCCCAGCTACGCAGCAGGATGTGGAAAAGATTTAAGAGCAAACTATTTCAAAAGTAGAATTTGCCTCAAACATCTTCACCAGGAGTTGAGTATGTTGAAGGAAACAAAACTGTGTGAAGGTGCTGGTTCATCTGACAGATGTCTCAGCCTTTAACTTCCACACGTGGGCAACTTGTAGCCAGTGTCTAATTGTGAAATCATAAAGCATAGCAATGCAGAAACCTTCCTGAGCAAGGTCACGCTCACGGCGCTCGGGTAACAAACCAGCAGCAAAATTAGTGACACTGGGAGAGGAGGAGAGCGGGGAAAGGGATTCCAAACCCCCAGGAAGGCTCTGTGCACACACCTGGGGAGGGCTGTGCTCCTGGGGCATGACAGCAGACACCTTGCTCCTGCCTTTGGCCACAAGTTCCCACCTTCAGCCTGGGGGGGTCTCCTTCACCTCTGTCAGCCCCACACGTCCCTGTGCCCCCAAAGCTGGGGTGCAGAGCCTGTCCCCATTCCTGAAGGCTTGGTGGCACTGAGGGTTAACACGTGGAGGGGGAAGAGGCTGCACAGCCAGGGAATACTAATGGGAGCCAGGAATCTAGTGTGAGCTTGTGCTGTGCTGTCACAAACCTGCACTCAGAGGTGGCAAGTGACTACGAGCCACTCCCCAAAGCCCAAACTTGGGTTGGGGTGCAGCACCCCCACCTGAAGGGCTGTGACCCCACAGTGAAACACAGGGGTGAAGGAAACAACCACAGCTGAACAAAGGGGTTGGAGGTAACAGCTGCAGGGATTGTAATTCCCTCTCCTGTCACAAGCAGGGCTCACTGGAAAGCCCACCCTGGGCACTGACCCCTGCAGCAATGCCCAGTGGCTGAGCCCCCACCTGCTGCTGGGAGCCCTCCCTGGGATGGGCAGGAGCAAGGGGCTCAAAAAGCACAATCCCCAAAGATCAGAAGCAGGCAGAGCCCAACAGCTCCCCTCCCCAGCACAAAGTGCTCCCAGGTGCAGCCTCAGGGCCACACCTGGTCAATCCCTGCAGCTCCACTCTCATATTCTCAGTTTGTTCACTGACATCCAAATGAAGGCACACGCAGAGGGTGGTGTCACCCAGGAGTTAAGTGGGTGGCCATGGGACAGCCAGCACTGGGCTGTGCCCTCTGAGGAGCATCCCAGGGCCCATCCCCTCCCCGTGTGTGGTCCTGGGTGGTTTGCAGGGAAGGAGCCCTGGGGAGGGCGGGCACAGGAGCCTCCAGGAAGGGGAAGGCTGAGCCAAGCCCCAGCTGTGACATGTGCCAGACAGCCCAGGCAGAGGGTGGCCCGTGCTGTGACACCAGCAGCTGCTGCGGCCTCAGCACTGGGAGAGCTGCAGGCTCCAGTGCTGGGCCTGAGGAACAGCTGATTGCCCAAAAAATAAACTCAGCAGCAGCCACGACTACATTCAGTGAGGGAACATCCCCTCACGTTCAATAGTGTTTAATCTTCATCTAGCTCAACACAAATCAGTAGTGCAGCAATATAAATACAACTGAGGAACTTAAAGCCTTTTGGCTTTCATAGCTCAATAAGAAGAAAAAAAAAAGCCAATGAAACCAGTTTCCAGTTTTTAAATTAAACACAAAGAAAGGCAATGAACTGCCCACCCATCCCCAGAGAAGCAGTGGCATCCTTCATGCCAGCACGAGGCTGAGCTCTGCCCGAGGACAGGGTGCAACTCACAACAGCAGCAGTGAGATAAGGGAGTGGGAATGGGAAAGGACCCCCTGGCTGCCCTTGGGCTCAGGCAGCAGGGACAGTGACACGCTGTGCCACGTGCTGCTGGCACTGCCCACCACCCCTGGGTACCCAGAGCTCCCTTTTCCACCACCAAAGGACACCACGTGTGCTCTTGACACTGCGACAGGAGCACACAGGGCTCTGCAGCCACAAGGCCAGTGAGCTGCCAGCCTGAGGGAGCAGCCAGCTGGGGACTGCACAGACCAATCCCCATCGCCTGGGATGTGCAAAGTTTAAGGGGAAAAAAAATCCAAACAAAAAAAAATCCACAGTACAGTGTTCCATAACTGAGATATGGTTAACATCCAGCCTCATGGACGGCCTGGTGACCAACAGAAGGTGCTGGGGCCACAGAACATGTCACAGCTTTGGAATGAAGCCAGACACAGGTACCAAAGGTGGGTGTGTGTGCCCCCAGCTCTGGTACCAAGCAGGACTTTGCTGCAGGAGGGGGTCTCCCAGCCTGGACAGTAACCACAGGTGAGCTTTTCACACATGAACAGGCACCAAGTCCCAGCACTGCCCATGAGAGCAGCCTGACACAAACCCCTCTCCTACCTGCAAACTGCCAGAGTGTTTACATTCCCCATCCTCTACACCCCAACAGCAGCCAAGTGCACGTGAAAGGACAAGTCTACATGAAAATAGTGCTCAAACCATTAGGGAAGGTGGGAGTAAAGGAGAAGAAAGTTGTTGGACAGCACAAGTAGGCTATGGGAGCCTGAAGGGAGCTCAGAGCACAGCTCAAGGACTTGACTTTCCTTCTCAAGGCAAGTGAGCTGCAAGTCCACAGGTGCTCCCTCCACTGCAGTCTGAGGTGGCTTAGGAGGGTCCTGCACATTCACAGTTGCTCCAAGTGGTTCTGTCCTGCCCTCTCCAGATGCCAGCTCCATCCTTTTCTGACTCTTCTCCTGGGGTTCACAGTTGCCTTCTCCTCCCTTTGATTTCCCTTGAAGTTCAAATTCAAGTACAACCAGTTTTAACTGAATGAAAAGAAACCCACAAAACCAAAGTTATTTTCTGTGAAACGAGTTAGCAGCGTTGTCCTAATCAAAGAGACCTCCAAAGGCCCTGGTAGGACAGGGACGGGATGGGCCTTCCCTGCTGAGCTCCAGCCAAGGCTGCCCAAGGGGAGCTATAGGATTTCCTCCCTCTGGCTCTTGGCTTTGAGGCTCAGCTGTCCGTTGCGCAGGGAGCCGTTCTGGCTGCGCAGCAGTTTCCCTTTTTCCCGGTCAGGCCATGTGAAGATGGCTTCATCACTGTCCAGCTCGGACTCCGAGTGCATCAGGCTCGTGTTGAGGACTTGGGCTTT